GAAGGGATCCGCTATGCAGGATATGCAGTAACAACGATAGACAAGGTGATAGAAGCTCGGCCACTGGCAAAAGGAACATCAGCACAAAAGGCAGAATTGATAGCACTGACACGAGCGTTACAATTGGCTGAAGGTTTAAGAGTGAACATCTACACGGACTCCAAGTATGCGTTTTTAACCACTCATGCCCACGGAGCTTTGTATAAAGAAAGAGGACTATTGAATTCAGAAGGCAAAGAAATCAAATACGCAGCTGAGATCCTACAACTATTGGAAGCAGTGTGGGAGCCGAAAGAAGTCGGTATTATACATTGTCGGGCGCATCTGAGAGGAGATGGTGATGTAACCAAAGGGAATCGGATGGCAGATAGTGCAGCTAAGCGTGCTGCTGAATCAGGAAGACAGGAATATGTGGGGCATATAGCTGCTCTTATACCAACTCCACTGTCTCAATGGACTCCAATTTATACAGCTCAAGAAGAGGAGTGGTTAAGGACTGAACCTGGAAAGTATTTGGAGAACAAATGGTATCAGTTAGAAGATGGAAGAATAGTTATTCCAGCATCACTAGCGGTAGAAATTGTCCAAAACTATCATAACGGGACACATTCTGGGAGAGACAGTACAGAAGAATCTCTCAGAAAACATTTCTACATACCAAGATTGTCCAACTTGACTCAGGCCATTGTACGTAGATGTGTAACGTGTGCTAAAAATAATGCAAGACAAGGACCAGTAAAGCCACCAGGAGTCCAGTTTATGGGGGGACTTCCCATGTCCGATTTACAAATTGACTATACAGTGATGCCTAAATCGGGTGGACATCGCTACCTGCTGGTAGTGGTGTGCACCTATTCAGGCTGGGTAGAAGCATGTCCTACTCGTACAGAGAAAGCAGGAGAAGTCGTGAGATTCCTGCTACGAGAAATAATACCCCGATATGGACTACCCTGCTCTATAGGATCGGACAATGGTCCAGCTTTTGTTCATCAGTGCCTACAACAATTGACTCATATGCTTGGTATAAAGTGGAGGCTTCATACGGCATATAGACCCCAGAGTTCTGGTAAGGTAGAGAGAATGAATAGAACTATTAAGAATCAGTTGGCTAAAATGTGTCAGGAAACCCAACTTAAGTGGAACGTTCTCTTGCCCATAGCTCTATTGCGAATCCGTAGTACACCTACCAGAAGGATGGGCCTCTCTCCTTTTGAAATCATGTACGGGCGACCACCTCCCGTGCTTGGTAACTTAAGGGGGGATTTGAGTCAGTTGGGAGAAGGAATTACCCGGCAGCAGGTTGTAGAGTTGGGTAAGACTATGGAGGAGGTACAGAAATGGGTACAAGATAGATTACCTGTGAATATTTATCCCCCAATTCATAGTTACCACCCAGGCGACCAAGTGTGGATTAAAGAGTGGAATAATGTGCCGTTAGGGCCCAAGTGGAGAGGTCCTTATGTTGTTCTTCTGTCTACCCCTACAGCGATAAAAGTAGCCGAAGTGGCTCCGTGGATACATCACTCCAGGGTTAAACCAGCAGCAGCCGATTCCTGGCAAGTTACAGCAAATCCAGAGAATCCCTGCAAGATCCGGTTAAAACGCACGACTCAGTCGGAGTGACGAGGAACCTTGTGGATTATAAATTTTATTGTTTCAGAGACTTGGTAAGTGAGTGAGAAGGCCATAATAAAGCCTGTCCACTCACCAACGAGTGTATAAGTCAGGGAAAGTCTTGAGGGGACCCCTGTGAAGACGAGCAGAACTCCATTCCCTGCAGTCCTTACATCCTGGAAGCTGAGGTGCCTTCACACGGACGAAGACTGAGGATGACGACGAAAGATGTATTTTTAATAATGTTTATTTATGTGTATTTTTATATTCAGGAAGGTAGAGGTACCAACACTCCTAGCTGTGAGGTATGCATTAAGACTACAAGAACAGGTAACCATATATCCCAGACCCTAATTTGGCATTCGCAATATGAGTGTAAAGGAGATGTATCAAGATGTAGATACTTAAATATAGAATATAGTGTGTGTCATTTAGGAGTAGGAGAACCTAAGTGCTTCAGTCCTGAGTATCAACCCCGTACAATTTGGTTGACTCTCAGAAATGGAGATTCTCAGGGGACCCTAATTAATAAGACGGTATTAAAATCCGTATATTCTTCAGGTGCTCTGCTATTTGATGCGTGTAAAGCAATATCAAGTGGTAGAAAGCCGTGGAATGTATGTGGGGATCTTAGATGGGAGAGGACGTATGGGTCTAACGATAAATATATTTGTCCCAGTAGTAAAAATAAATATGTAAGTCCAAGATGCCCAAATAGAGATTATAACTTCTGCCCATATTGGTCTTGTGTGGGGTGGGCGACTTGGGGACAGACAGCAGACAAGGACATGATTGTGACTAAGTTGCCTACTGATCCATATTGTAAGTCTATGGAATGCAATCCAATCCATATACTTATAAATAACCCTGACAAGTTCTTAGATAAATATGGTAATTTATTTGGGTTTCAAATATATGGGACGGGTTTAGACCCTGGGACAATATTGTTTATAGGGATAGAGACTGATACGGTAACCTCCCAAACTCATCAAGTATACCATTCCTTTTATGAAGAGATGAGCATAGATAATAAGATCCCCCATAATGCTAAAAACTTGTTCATTGATTTAGCCGAGAGTATTGCCGGTAGTCTTAATGTTACCAACTGCTATGTGTGTGGAGGTACTAACATGGGAGACCAATGGCCTTGGGAAGCAAAGGAGGTAATGTCCGGTTCTGAGGCAGTTGACCAATTAATATCTACACAAGCCGACTATCATATGAGTGTTAGAGGTAAATCTGAGTGGAGATTGAAGACCTCCATCATAGGTTATGTTTGCATAGCGAGGAAAGGAATGATGTATAATACTTCTGTAGGAGAATTAACTTGTCTAGGGCAAAAAGCTTATGATGATGATACAAAGAATACAACTTGGTGGTCGGCTTCAAATATCTCAGAACCATCTAACCCGTTTGCAAGATATGCCAATTTAAAGGACGTATGGTTTGATCTATCCATCACATCTAACTGGAGAGCCCCAGCGAATTTGTACTGGATCTGTGGTAAGAAGGCCTATTCGGAGTTACCACAGGACTGGGAAGGGGCATGTGTGTTGGGTATGTTAAAACCATCCTTCTTCTTGTTGCCTATTGAAACAGGTGAGACTTTAGGTGTTAAAGTGTATGATGTGAATCATAGGAAGAAAAGGGGACCCATAGAGATAGGTGCCTGGGAAGATAATGAATGGCCTCCCCAGCGTATTATAGATTATTATGGGCCAGCCACGTGGGCAGAGGATGGTACCTTTGGTTATAGAACCCCTATTTATATGCTCAACCGCATTATAAGGTTACAGGCGGTGGTTGAGATCATTACTAACGAGACATCACAAGCGCTCAATCTTCTAGCGAAGCATAATACCAGGATGAGGACAGCAGTTTACCAAAATAGATTAGCCTTGGATTATCTTTTGGCAGTAGAGGGAGGTGTATGTGGGAAGTTTAACCTGAGCAATTGCTGTCTTCAAATAGATGACGAAGGGCAAGCAATAGCTGAGCTTACTAGCCATATGGTTAAACTAGCGCATGTGCCTACTCAGGTATGGAAAGGGTACAATCCAAGTAGTTGGTTTGGTAGCTGGTATGAGTGGTTTGGAGGGCTTAAGGCAGTGGTAGGTGGAGTCCTACTGATTTTAATGTTGTGTCTACTCCTGCCGTGTCTTATACCCTTAGTAGTTAGGTCTGTGCAAAGCCTGATAGAAAATATAGCAGAGAGGAAGGCTGCTGCACAGATAATGGCAATTTATAAATATAAGGCTCTAGATCAGGGAGAACCAATGCAGGAAGACGAGTGTTGAAGATTCACATCATAGGATAAGTCTGGTCTGGTTCAAAGGTAACTTGTGGTGTATGCAAACCAAGGTTAAGTGATGCCTCAAGTAATTGTAAAATATCAAGAGGCATCAAAGGGGGGAATGTGGTGGAATCTCGGTAAAAATAAATTTAGTAGGCCGAGATTACCACGTGGCATGTGTACGTGCATATGCTGACGTATCGATCAGTTGGTTGCACGAGGCAAGATACGATCAGTAGTGTACGGAGCATGTGCAAGAATACAGGATGTAGTATTCCCCTCCTCCATTGTGCTGGACAAGCCATGCGGTCAAGCAGGAAGTTAATTCTTATTTGTAATGATTGGTCAAGAGAATGTGCGGGTGGAGCTTAATATGGGAGGAGTTATGTGCCTATATAGGGAGCCTGCACTATTGTTCAGGGCTCAGAACTTGCTGTATTTTTGGTGACATTAGTCCCTCTGAGTCCCGATCGGTGATCCAATAAAGAATCTCTTCCTTCCTGAAGAAACCTGTGTCCATCCCTCTGTGCTTTGCTTCCGTCAGTTTCTCCGGTATCACTTTGAGAAAGCATATCAGTTAAACTGTTAGCAGGTTTTCATCCCCCACCCTCCATGACTCCTCTTCTGCAACTGTCAAAAATTACCTATTAAGCCCTCAGCAAATACTTTTCTAACAACTTACTTCGTACCCCTACTTTTACCCTTTGTGTCACTATACCCCACTCCCTCTAGAATGTAAGCATATTGAGCAGGGCCCTCCACCTCTCTGTTCCTGTACGTCGAGTTGTCTGGTTACATTTAAATGTCTGTTAGTCCACCCTTTGTACAGCGCTACGGAATCTGATGGCGCTATATAAATAATAAAATAATAATAATAATAATATAGAGTACCCACAGCCAGGCAGTGTTATGCAGAGTGCTGTAAATTGTACACACAGCCAGGCAGTGTTTAGCCAGGCAGTGTTATACAGAGTGCTGTAAATTGTACACACAGCCAGGCAGTGTTATACAGAGTGCTGTAAATTGTACACACAGCCAGGCAGTGTTATACAGAGTGCTGTAAATTGTACACACAGGGAAGAGGAAGGGGAGGAGCCAGGCTGCTGTAAATGGACGTAATCGGAGAGGAGAGGGGGAGGGCTGTGTATTGTACCTGTATGTGGACTCTCGGTGTTAGGAAGTGCCAGAGCGGGGCTGAGGGCACCACCAGCGGTACTGCCAGCCGAATTCCACCCCGTGCCGAGTAGGGCAGTAACTGTGACCGTATTATTGGGAGCAGTGTGTTCACTGTGGGCTTGGCTGTGTAACTGGCATGAGGAGATAGTGGGCACCTCACTGCCAGTGTATGGAATAACCTGTAACACGGGCTCTCACTGCTCGGGGTGACTGACTCCCGGGTGCTGTACTCGGTGCTCTGCCGTGCAGTGTGCTGGAGGATGCCAGGCTGGTGGAGTGTGTGCCTGGCGCTGGCTGCCCTCTGCCCGGGCTGCTCTGGGCACTCCCTGGAGTGGTTCACGGCTGTGCTCCGCACCGAGTACACCGACCCTTTCACCAACATGACGGTGCTGAACACCACGGAGAGCGGCACCTACGGCGACCATTCCCCGAAGGAGAGCGTGCGGGGCTGGGTGGGCTACCCGCGGGACCCAGAGCTATTGGAAGGATGCCACCCGGATACCCAGTTCACGGTGCCCGGCATGTCCCCGGCGGCCCTGGAGGCTGAGGATGCCCATCCCTGGATTGCCCTGGTGGCCCGTGGAGGATGCACATTCAAGGAGAAAGTTTTCATCGCTGCCCGCAGGAAGGCATCCGCCGTGGTCATCTATAACGATGTGAAGAGTGGCGATGCCACCGTGCCTATGTCACACCTAGGTAAGCCCAATAATACATACAGCGAGCTTCCCATGGCACCCTGCTGGGACCTGCCGTACTGTGCCATCTGTATCCCAGCTCAGAGATACTCTGTCTTGCAGCACACACTGGGTACATGAGGAGTGGGCACCTTGGAGGGATGGTTTGTACAATCCTGTCTTCTCCAAAATGTCATTCACACTGTATCCAGCAATAGGATGCACTGTACTGACCATTGTATATGATTTATACCAGGTGAATTCCATTTATACTTTGAGGGAGATGGATTGAAGTGTTGTGTTTTGAAAATCGTCCTGACGTTTTTAAGGTGAAAAAAATCACTAGGCGGAATGTTTCTGTTTATTGCATTGGTTACCACAGCGATTGCTCCAGTTTTAGAACTTTGCATCTTTTTTTTTTTTTTTTTAAATATGGCATTTCAAAAAAAGTGTCTGTGTTCGCTTTAATTAATAGGAGCTCGTTTTCATTTTAAATTTGTTTTTGGATATAATTGGGGCTCAGTTGTTACCATGGTAGCTGTTGTGCCAGGTATACCAAATTCAGTGACAGAAGGATGTGTAGTTGATAAGATGCCAATCTAGGACACGTGCCAAATGGTTAAATAGTTTACAGAGCTGTGTTTTTGTTGATTGAGACTTCTGGGAGAATGTGACGCAACTTAAGTACTTTATCACGGATGTGTTTTGAATGTTTATTTTTTTGTACTGCATATTTTACAATCTTTTACATCATCAATGTGATGAAACTGTGGGGTTATGTATAGGAAGTGTTGTATTCAGAAAAGTGATTCAAGGTACCAAAAGTCACCATGAAAACTAGTGGAACGAGTAAGCATGTTACATTGATGACTCTGCCCCTTCTTCGTGTTTGCATAACTTTTCAGAACAGACACTTATGCAAAAAAAGTCTCTATTGTAACATGAAATGTGACATTGGTGTAAGGCCATTCTACTACAATAAAACTGTATTTTGGGTTTACCTCTTATTATTACACAAACCAGCATTTGTGTTGGTAATAAATTGTTAATATCTGTTCAAATATGGATGTTATGCCTTCAAGGCACAGTGGAATTTGTATTTAGTTTGTACATGTTAAGCTTATTTATAATCTCACATCTGGATCCATCACTAGATATACTTTTAATAATGCCAAATGTTTTTTGTGGGTTTTTTTTTTCTTTAGGGTGATGGCATCTACTTTCATTGTGACTGTAATGTGTTGTACAATATTGACACAATACATTTTATAGTAAAATTTCATTCTTGCCTCTGCTGCTATATTTGATCTCCAAAATATACACATAAAAAGTGCTTGCTTAATTTGCTTTCAGTCCTGGAGGACTAAATTTGTAGAAAAAGCACAACTAGTTCCTAATATCACAATTTTATGAGGCTGTGCAGAGTACTGTTTGCACTTGTAAATGCCAGATATGGCAGGTTTGGTTCAGATGTTGTTCATTATGTTTTGCTATTTGGAATTTCTAAATATTTAGCTTATTGTTCCTTGAGCTCAAACAAAAACTATTTTAACTTTGTTTCCTATGTAGTTGTGAAATAGCGAATGTAGACCTCAGCACAGAATAATATGGAGATGCTTATTATTTACTGTTCAAGAATTTGCACCTGGTCTATTCACTAAGAACTGAATTATGGTCGAGTTTAAAATCAAATTGTAAGACGAACAGAATTATCTAAATTGGGGGGGGGGGGGAAAGCTCAATTGTGCTATTTTTTTACTCTGTTCTGGTGCACGAAATGATGCAATTATTATTATTTATATAGCGCTAACAAATTCCGTAGCACTGTACAATGGGTGGACTAACAGGCACGTAATTTTAACCAGACAAATGGACGCACAGGAACAGAGGGGTTGAGGGCCCTGCTCAATGAGCTTACATGCTATTCTGTTGCAAAATCAATACAATACATTGTTTAGTGAATAACTCCCCCCAGTCCCTCTAACGTCCGATTTTGATTTGGACTTTGACATTTATACACACTGTTGAGTCAGTCATTTGCACAGACAAAATATTTGATTTCTTCATTTTCCTTTTTCTTAAATACAAGCAGTAATTACACTTCCATTCATAAGCTAAAAAAAACTCCCTTTTATTTTTTTTATATTGTTTATTGTATTCCAATTTAATTAGTGACAGTTAATTAGGCCAGTGAGCTTTTTTTTTCTTTCTTTTTTTGCCAGTTTCATTGAAACAGCATTGTGCCCAATATTGTGACATTACAAAATTGCCTGGAAACAGGTAAATGAGTTTTATTCATATAGTTATTAACAAAACACTGAGTTTGGCATACACAGTATCATGTTTACATAGATGGCTCAACGAACACCTGAATTCTATCATATTGGTTTGGGCCTTTGTATAAACCTTTTTTATTTCTCCATATTTCTCATTTTTCTCAAGGAAAGTATTCTGGCTTACTTTGATATTGAGATTTTAGCCTACAATAGAGTAACATACTATCTAATACTTTTCTTCAGAGTTAGTTTGACTTGTCAAAACTCAAGCTCCTATAACCTATGATTGCACATTTTGGAAAATAGGTTAAATAAAATTGTTATAACAAAATATAAAAAAAAATAAAAACCTTTGGGATATTTGTCAAGTGTTTTCTGCCAAAAGTGGTGCAAAAGTGTAGGCTGAGTCTCCGGTCGAGCCCCCCCTGCACTTTGGATATGGGCATTGCTCTTCGGCGCACTAAGTGATATGGCTTTTCTCTATTTTCCTGGTGTACCCTGCCGGTGGCAGCCTGCTTTCTGTCTGTTCTTATGCTCTTTTTTTTTCTCTCTTCCTTTATTTTTTCCCTCTTTTTTTCCTCCTCTGTTTCCTGTACAGTTCTTTTTTCATTTTTACCTCCTCTTGTTCCCCCACTTGAGAAACGCTTAATTTAACTGTATAAAAACCCTTGGAGAGTGGAATCAAACACCTCTTACTTCGCATACTGTCTGTTGGCGGTTTATGTTATCTCCATATTGAACGTTTTATTGTTCTGCCTAGCTTTCTTGTTCACATATACAGTGCATACCAATGAGTATGTTAATGCAAAACTCTAGGGCATTGTGTTTCTTAACCTATTGGTGTTACTAACTTTTTGTGTTCACCACTAATACAAAGAAGTATCAAATAGCTTCTTTATTCATAACTATCGTTGCAATAATTTTTGTTCTTTTACCGTCATGTAATGATGTGATGTCATGAAAATGCCTTTTCTATGTACCACCGACTGTCTAAGATTTAAAAAAAAATTGAAAACAAAAAAGTTTAGCATGGACAGAGTCACCAATGAAGTGTACCTACTGGTTCATCTGGTTGCCCTGGCACATGCCCCACTATTATTACTGTAGACTAGTTTTTGGAACATAATATTTCGATAAATAAACCCCCTGTTGTTATTCCAACATGCTCAATGCATTTCCAAGATGATACATAAGGCTTGTATTTCAACGTTTTATTCAACTAGAATTCAAGCAAAGGCAAATTTATGTACATAATTTAATTCCATGTCGCCTGTAGGTGCCAAACCTTGTCTCCTGGCTCTTTATTAATTCTCTGGCTGTTGAAGGTGATACAATGTTGCTTTAGGAAAAAGCATATTATTGTGGTATAGAGGTTGTAGTTGATTCAATGTTTTTTAATGCTGCTCTATCCATATCTTTTGATCTGTAAATTACTTAATACCAGCTGTGGGTGAAAATGATGGAGTTGGTGGTATATTGGTATTGCATATTGAAATCCAAACTACAAAGCTCGGGCATCCACAGATAATTTGCTAAATTTCTCCACATCTAATATAATCGCAGCTTGGATATTTTTGCCTTAATTTTGCTGTTTGTTTATAAGTTTATTCATAGTTTAATGAATAAATGCTATTATGTATTAATGTCATTCTTAGTAGTACATAAAAAAATCCATGTGGATCACTAGCCAAAATTATTAATCCTATATTTGTTCCCTTCCTTCTTCTCCAATTTACATAACTCCAGTGATCCGCTGTCACTTTCTGGACCACTTGTTTTGTGTTATGAGAGTACTAACTACTGTAGGAGTAATTTGTGGGAGTATTGTGCATGTGCTATGTACATCACTCACATAGACATTAGCTGTTAGTCTCTCCCATAAAGAAAAATGGAAGCACTTTAGGACGATAAGTTTAGTTGGCCAAAAACTCACTGTCAGTAGTACTGCTCTAAATCTCAGGTTTGAAATTTTCCAGAGTCAAACCCATCCTTTCATATTTTCTGAGTTCAGCACAATGGGTATCAGTGATTTAAACTTTTATCAAATGCCGATAAGTGAGAATATGTCAGCTGAAGTCTGTCCATTTCCTTTCCTTTTGGGTGGAAGAAAAGGCCTATGCAAGTATGTATATTAACATTCAAATGAATTGTGCAGAACCGTGGTCTTTAAGGATACTGTTTTTTCTGTAATCAATTTGATGGAGTGATTTTACAACCCAGCCATACTGGCATACTTATGTCTTTTAATCAGGTCCTTAATGCATGTTTGTTTTTTTTTATTAAGGGACACTGCAGTCACACAGACCACTTCATCTCATTGAAGTGGTCTGGGTGCAGTGTCTCTATCACTTTAGCCGTGGAACGTAAAACATTGCAATTTTTGAGAAACTTGTTTTCTTTGCTGGATAAAGTCTACCTCTAATGCAGGGCTGCCCAACAGGTAGATCCCCAGATGTTGTGGAACTACAACTCCCATGATGCTTTGCATGCCGTTAGAATGCATTTAGAATGACAAAGCATCATGGGAGTTGTAGTTCTACAACATCTGGGGATCTACCTGTTGGGCAGCCCTGCTCTAGTGGCTGTCAGTAAAACTAAGGAGAGCATTGGGTTGGATTATCTAGGAGGAGTTCATGCCTCTTCTGTGATGTTACTAAAGGTAGAGAGGTAAACAGTGCGAGGGAGTCTCAGCGCTGGAAATAGGTGATTTTATTAATGTAATTATATTTAAAAAAGAATTGGTATTCCAAATGCTATAATGTTCCATTAATTACAGTTGCTGAGTAGTGAGTACCTTTCTATATCAAAGTATCTTGTTTGATTTATTAAGTTCTAAATCTATATGTTTATTCAAATTCACATTGGTGGTTATGTATACAAATTGTTTACTTTAACTTATGTGTGCATGCAGCAGAATGTATTTATATATACAGTATTTCACAAAAATGAGTACACCCCTCACATTTTTGTAAATATTTTATATCTTTTCATGTGACAACACTGAAGAAATGGCACTCTGCTACACTGTAAAGTAGTAAGTGTGCAGCCTGTATAACAGTGCAAATTTGCTGTCCCCTCAAAATAACTCAACACATAGCCATTAATGTCTAAACCGTTGGCATCAAAAGTGAGTACACCCCTAAGTTGAAATATCCAAATTGGGTCCAAAGTGTCAATATTTTGTGTGGCCACCATTATTTTCCAACCCTCATGGGCATGGAGTTCACCAGAGCTTCACAGGTTGCCACTGGAGTCCTCTTCCACTCCTCCATGACGACATCACAGAGCTAGTGGATGTTAGAGACCTTGTGCTCCCCCACCTTCCTTTTGAGGATGCCCCACAGATGCTCAATAGGGTTTATGTCTGGAGACATGCTTGGCCAGTCCATCACCTTTACCTTCAGCTTTTTTAGCAACGCAGTGGTCGTCTTCGAGGTCTGTTTGGGGTCGTTATCATGTTGGAATACTGCCCTGCAGCCCAGTCTCCAAAGGGAGGGAATCATGCTCTGCTTCACTATGTCACAGTACATGTTGGCATTCATGGTTCCCTCAATGAACTATAGCTCCCCAGTGCCGGCAGCACTCATGCAGGCCCAGACCATGACACTCTCATCACCATGCTTGACTGTATGCAAGACACACTTGTCTTTGTACTCCTCACCTGGTTGCCCCAACACATGCTTGACACCATCTGAACCAAATAAGTTTATCTTGGTCTCATCAGACCACAGGACATGGTTCTAGTAATCCATGTCCTTTGTCTGCTTGTCTTCAGCAAACTGTCTGCAGGGTTTCTTGTGCATCATCTTTAGAAGAGGCTTCCTTCTGGGATGACAGCCATGCAGACCAATTTGATGCAGTGTGCAGTGTATGGTCTGAGCATTGACAGACTGACCCCCCCACCCCTTCAACCTCTGCAGCAATGCTGGCAGCACTAATATGTCTATTTCCCAAAGACAACCTCTGGATATGACGCTGAGCACGTGCACTTAACTTCTTTTGTCGACCATGACAAGGCCTGTTCTGAGTGGAACCTGTCCTGTGACACCGTTGTATGGTCTTGCCCACAGTGCTGCAGCTCAGTTTCAGGGTCTTGTCAATCTTCTTATAGCCTACGCCATCTTTATGTAGAGCAACAATTCTTTTTTTTTCAGGTCCTCAGAGAGTTCTTTGCCATGAGGTGCCATGTTGAACTTCCAGTGACCAGTATGAGAGAGCGTGAGAGCGATATCACCAAATTTAACACACCTGCTCCCCATTCACACCTGAGACCTTGTAACACTAATGAGTCACATGACACCGGGGAGGGGAAATGGCTAATTGGGCCCAATGTAACATTTTCAATTAGGGGTGTATTAACTTTTGTTGCCAACGGTTTAGACATTAATAGCTGTGTGTTGAGCTATGTTGAGGGGGACAGCAAATTTACACTGTTATACAGGCTGTACACTTAATACGTTACATTGTAGCAGATTGTCATTTCTTCAGTGTTGTCACGTGAAAAGATATAATAAAATATTTACAAAAATGTGAGGGGTGTACTCACTTTTGTGAGATACTATATATATAAAACGGTTATTCCACCTTTATTTATTCATACCTTTTTTCTGCTTTTTCTGTAGTGCTTCAAAATAATACATTTTTCTGGCTCCTTTTATTTCCTTTTGGATTATTTGCTTATTTTATTCTGCTGATTTTACTGTGATTACATTCACAAAATGAGACAAATTAGTAATATTGCTAGGAAACAAGATGCAGTCACACTTTAAAGGATTTTTGTATTCTTTAAAAAAAGATGTGAAAGCTTCCCTTAGCTTCTTCAGTATATCCTCTACTCTGATAACATGGAAAAAGTTGTCGAAAAAAAAGTAATTTGCACTTTTTGTACGCATGGCACAGTTGCGAACCAAAAAAACAAAACCAAGTGAAAAGGAAAATAAAGTTAAAGAAGAGGTGTAGTAAAGAATATTTTGGTTGCAAATAAGGGGTTCAAATAGTAAAGGTGCCAGAAAAAAACTGTCTGTAATTGAACACTTTTTATTCATAACCCCTATTGTGTTCAGACTTGATTTTCTGGCCAAGGACAATTCAAGTATTTTAGATCAATGTTAATACTCCCTTCTTCAAACAAAGTACAGGTGGGGCTGCCTTGGGGGCAAACAATGAGAGACACACACCAGTTTTTTCAACCAGACCTGTTCCACAATTGTCAAGCTACTGTTTTGTACTGTTGTTCCTTTTTTTTTCTTTTCTGTTTTCCATTATTTAGTAAGTGTTTTGGCAACTGTTCTTTAGGCAGATAATGAACAAACACATGTTATGCGGGAATTCAAAAAGGAAAAAACACATGGGAACATCTGGATCGAGATAGATGTCTCATCTGCATTCTTCAGTGTAAATTGATCATTTGAGATAGTATGCACTCTCTAGATTTTAGTTATCTTCTGTCACCTAATTTAGAATTGAGAGTCTTCAATATGTTGGTGGTTTGTGTGCCTGTGTGTTTTTATGTTATAACCCTTTGATCGTATAATTACCCCCTATGGAAATGTAGTAAGCAAATATTTGTTGTATGGTCAGTAATAAGCGGTGCACAAGTGATTATATTATTGAACCATGGCAATACTGATGATCCAAATTACAGTTCCCAGCATCTTAGGCCAAGCAAAATTATGATAAGACTAGCAATTACAATTTTACAGGTATTTTCTAATCTTATTTAAAGAATAAACAGAGGGGGCAAAAGTGGTATGAGGGAGATTAAGCAATCATTTCTGGGCCATTTAGTTTACTTGTGGTATTTTGTGCGAGATTGCTGGGCTTGGTCCTTGGCAATATAAAATTCTGAAAAATGTCTTAGTATATTGTTTATTCAAGCCCTTAGGGATGGTACATTATAAAGCTGATTTGATGCTACTGTAATAATTGTTTCTGGTCTGCTGACCCCCACTTATTGCCCATAATAGCCATATTAACATTTACCTATATTATTTCTGGTATTACCATAAAGCACTCCATCCAAATGAAACCAAGTAGTTTGTGAGAATGATTCATACGCATATTTGCAATTATTATTTAACCAATGTTTGTTTTACCTCTGTGTTCGGTACCCCAGTTTTGTGATGTGTGATATTGTTACATTGCTTTTAGGGTCATATAAATAAATTCCATTATTAAATTTGGTTATATGTTGAATATTCAGAATCTTCCTTACATTACATGTAGGTGTGGGTAAGTAACGCAAATAAATCCAATCAAATCAATAATGCTGGCTGTAACGGAGCTCTCCGTACTCCGACTGAGTACCCTCCATTGATGGATGCTTTCTAGCTTGCGCTGAGGACCACAAGCACCGCAGACTCCGCAACTGCTGTAGCTTGACTGGAGTCTTCCTTCCACCCTGGATCAGCTTATGTTCTCCTGGATTGTGTGAGTAAGACCTCTTCCTTTCACCCTGCATGAACCTCCAAACATCCAGGATTGTGTGGGGAAGACCCTTCCTCAAAGGAGAGCGTGTCAGAAACAAGCTCTTAAAAGAACTAAGTGATTCAAGCTCAGGAGAGTATGCAGAGCATAGCAATCCCCAGTGTGATTATAACAGCTCCCTCCAATAACAAGACAAGGCTATGTTTAGAGGGATCAAGAAGAACTGTCTAAACCTTTATTTCCCTTGGGACCAGCCCATAGGGTCACCACATTAACATTGCTGTAATAACTCAATAAAATCACAAACAGTCAAACCATAGCAGGCAACACAAAGTGACTTATCACAACACAATGGCATATTTTTAAAGGGGTGGGGGAGACAATATTTAACAGAAAATATCTCACCTGCCTGCAGAATTAGCAATATGCAAATCTACCCGAATATGCAAATGAACCAGTCTTGCTATTCAGGTCGTGCATATTGCTGTTGCTACCAACAGAGGGCACTAGACAAGCTCCATAGCCAAATCCACCTTGTTGGTAGCAAACCTCAGCAGTACAGGAGAGCAGGCAATACATTTCACAGTACACACACACACTATAAACAATTACATTACACACACCCTGCACCTATAATGGGTACAGGGTGACTAAAACATAAGAGAAATAAAGCAACCTACATAAATAGTCTGTCTGAAGGTAGAATAGGGGCTTTAAAGCTAAATACATCAAAGAGTCACAGTCACAGGGGAGGAGGCTGGCAAGCAGGCCTCTCCAGGACCATGTGGCGAAGGGCACTTCGTCACACTGGCATTTTTTTCCAGTAAAATACAGAAAGAAAATTAAAGAAAGTGGAAAAAAAAATCTTTATCCATTTTGAATTGGGAATATAAATTGTAAATAAAAAGTCAAATGGATATATAGCAATACTAGGTAATATTTCCCAACTGTGCAATGTAGATTAGCTCAAAGGCACTTGGCCAGATAGTCAAGTCATAGTTGCTAACGACAGATATTGTCACAACAGTATTAAACTCGGGGTACAGATAATAACTTATTTGCTGAAACATCAGTAATATAAATGTCATTATAATATTTTGTTTACATCTGACAAGTTTGTTATGTCTGGGCTATCGTTGGTAAGGTGAACCTATTAGCACATTTATTGCAATAAACATAAATTCCTTTGCAAGAAGAAAACATATGATGTAACCACCTGCACCAAGATAGATAGATTGATAACTTAGAAACATAGAATGTGACAGCGGATAAGAACCATTGGCCCATCTAGTCTGCCCAATTTTCTAAATATTTAACTAGTTCCTGGCCTTATCTTAAAACTAGGATAGCCTTATGCCTATCCCACGCATGCTTAAACTCCCTTACTTTGTTAAGCTCTACCACTTCAGCTGGAAGGCTATTCCATGCATCCACCATCCACTACCCTCTCAGTAAAGTAATACTTCCTGATATTATTTTTAAACCTTTGTCCCTCTAATTTAATACTATGTCCTCTTGTTGTGGTAGTTTTTCTTCTTTTAAATATAGTCTCCTCCATTACTGTGTTGATTCCCTTTATGTATTTAAATGTTCTATCATATCCCCCTGTCTCGTCTTTCCTCCAAGCTATACATGTTAAGATCCTTTAACCTTTCCTGGTAAGTTTTACCCTGCAATCCATGATCCGGTTTAGTAGCCCTTTTCTGAACTCTTTACAAAGTATCAAAGTCTCAGAACAGAGAAGACATCAGAATGATGATGTTTAATACAGTGCAGCAGTAAGCTTGTTACTATGCGAAATAAAGTTGCTACACACAATATAATGTCTATGAAGCTTATAACGGGACACCCCTGCCAGGTTCAATGCTTTCTTATGATCCACAAATTCATAATGAGCGGTTTTGAAGTAGTTCGTCTTTTACTAAAGATGTGCATTTCCTAGATATTGATTTTCAGTTGCTTAAACCCTCTGTAGATCTTTCCAACAATACCCATATTTACTATTTACTACACTAGGTTTAGGCAAGAATAAAATCTTAGACTCAGAGGCCCTGCGATAGAAATTGCATATTTCCATCTCACTGTTCAGCGGATCCTTTATTTTTGCTGCATTGTACATTAGAGAAATATGATGAGAATTTAGCACTGGGTTTCGTAGAAGTCCCGGTCCCACACCATCTTCCCTGACAGTCATAACATGCTCTGCCATTTGTAACTTGTTATATTTAATGCTTTTGCTAATGATTATATAATTGTTTTTATATAATACATTATGTTCACATTTCAGATTTAAATATCTACTTTCTTATTTAGCTGTGTTTTATTTCTAGTTAACTTGATCTGTGCTGAATGAGGCTAAACAATGCACATACATTTTCTGCATAATATAGCTGTAGTATTAATCTTCTTAGTCCTTTAAAGTTATCATCAAAGGGATTCTCCAGTGCCAGCAAACCAAACCCGTTTTCCTTGCACTAGAGAATACTGGAGTTCCCCCCAATAAGCTGTAGTTGTTCTGGTGACTATAGTGTCCCTTTAAAAGGACACTATTGTTACCAAAACAACTACAGCTTAATGTAGTTGTTCTGGTGAGTATACTCATTCCCTTTGGGCATTTTAATGCAAACACTGTCTTTTCAGGACACTTCCAAGTGGCCATTCCTCAGATGGCCACTGTTGGTGCTTCCTGGCTCAGTGCTGCACAGTAGGCAGCAGTGCCATTCAGCAACTCCACGCTCTGCATGGGAAATCTAAATGTTTTCACATAGGGATGCATTGATTCAATGCATCTCTATGAGGAGGTGCTGATTGGCGAAAATAGCGTTTGGCCCCAGCCCCTTGCCTATTTCAGCCAATGCTCATGGGGAAGCATTGCACTGGCTAAAAATCAGCAATTCTGATTGTCACCAATGGGGCGGCGCTAGCGCTGGCGGACCTGGAAATAAGATGGGTTTTAATTGCTTTTAAGGGAGCTAAGGGGGGCAAGCCACCTAAAATGTGGGTTAAACACTATAGGGTCAGGAATACATGTTTCTGTTCCTGACCCTATAGTGATCCTTTAATGTATTTTGGTTGACCATGTAATTATCATTTAATATATATATAAAGCTGTGCTCTTGTGTTCATGACTTGACAAAGAACATAACTCCTCCTGATTGTTTGATTGGCAATTACATGCAAATTTATAGTAATGCCTTATTTATTATATTTTCATTGAACATCCTCTCTGCTGCTCCTATAAGAATTGTGTACAGCTGTTTAATGTTTGCAATAACCAGGGAATTTTAAATTTAACATTAGTTGCAAAACACACAAACATAAGACTGAGTGATACGGTTGATCACGGAAGAGCTGGATGTGAAAAATGTGTTGATTTAGGACATAATGGCTAGATCAATTTCTATATATAAATATATATATATATAATGTATTTGTTTTTACCATCACATTTTCTTTGCTTCATAGAAATTGTATTGATCATGGATCATTTCCTCTTTATGGAAAAGCTCACATGAAAATATATGCTCTTGAACATTCTGCTGATGTGACAGCAACCATTTACTTCTGCATTTCAAACGTAGCAACAAAATCTATATAACCTGAGTATACATCTTTTAGTGCGGGAAGTGTGAACTCTATGTGCACTATTAAAAATAACTTACACTTACACATTAGGCAAAATTAGAGCATGCTTAATTCCATATTACTTTTTGAAAGAATGACTAGAAAATCTAAAAATAAAGATTGTCAAAAAAAAAATCCATATTACCTTTACAGCTTCTTCAATTCATAAAAATATTTTACCTAACACAGATCATTTATAAACATTCTAAGCGTTACTGCTAGTTTGGAATGGAATGTGCCCTATTTTGTAGATACTACTTGTGGGATCCCCTTATTAATTATTTCAAACATACCATCTATATTTTTTTTATATTTAGAGTGAGCTACTTAGCTACTGGTTCCTGGCTGGTTTAAAACCCTGTCCCTAGCCCATACCATTTAACAATAGCTTCTGGCCTTGGGTACACAATTACCTCCTATTGAAACAAAAAGTCTTGTTCCAACCATTGTCACTTTTTTTTTTTTTTACTGTTCAAGTGCTGCTACTGGTTTGTTACTACTGACCACGCAGTGTGAGGGTTGCATGCTTAGGTGTATGTTTCTGTGCGTTACCAACAAGCCGTTAATACAGAAATGGTTGGAATCTGCCGCCTATGGTCACGGGGAATTGAAGCCCCCTAGCTAGTATATAGTCTAGGGAACCACTACTTGCATTATTTTATTCTTTTTGTGTTTATCAATTTTTTGCCCAGTGCCTTTGTAAATATTGTAGATTACTGGTGATTTGCCCTAAAAAAAATGGTGCCACTTTAGCAATTCAGTAAATTGTAAGTGGTGTGTATGTTCACACTCTTGGGGCCATTTCTATGGTCATTTATTTAGCAGACAGTGATTTTCTCCAAACCAGATGGGGACCTTTGCTCCTCTTTAATGCCTATATCTATCCAGGTAGTCTATCTTTCTGTGTATAACCTTTTTAATGAAAGTATTAAGCCAAAGGTTGACAACTGCAATCTAGCCATTGGATCCAGGTCACAATTTTCAGGAAACAGTTTTTGATCACCCTAGGGTATGCTATATAATGAAATTAGTAAGTTAGTAGGCAAAGAAGCTGCATGGCTTAGTATAACATGCTTGAACAGGGGTTTTTTTATTTTTTTATTTTAATGCATTTGTCAGACTTGCAACATGACTGGGCAAGCCTGTAAAATAACTGTTAATGGTACGGTTGTAAACATGCTGGATAGATTCACTTGAAAGGTATCTGTACTTGAGAAACATAGAAAGTATTATGTACTTGAGGAACATAGACAAACTGAACAAAATAAGTTACATAGAACTATTTAAGTTTGGAAAACCTAGTTAATCCCTTAAGGACCAAACTTCTGGAATAAAAGGGAATCATGACATGTCACACATGTCATGTGTCTTTAAGGGGTTAAAGGACCACTATAGGCACCCAGACCACTTCAGCTTAATGAGGTGGTCTGGGTGCCTGGTCCATCTAGGGTTAACCCTTTTTTCTGTAAACTGCTATGTTTATGTTAGGGTTAATCCAGCCTCTAGTGGCTGTCTCATTGACAGCCGCTAGAGGGCTTCCGCGTTTCTCACTGTGAAAATCATCACAGCGTCCATAGGAAAGCATTGTGAATGCTTTCCTATGGACTGGCTGAATCGCGCGCAGCTCCTGCCGCGCATTTGCATTCAGCCGAACAGGAGGAGGAGAGCTCCCCACCCGGCGCTGGAGAAAGAGGTAAGTTTAACCCCTTCGTCTCCATCCAGCCTGGCGGGAGGGGGACCCTGAGGGTGGGGACACACTCAGGGCACTATAGTGCCAGGAAAACAAGTATGTTTTCCTGGCACTATAGTGGTCCTTTAAGGATGAAGGCAAGGAGAAGAGAAATTATATAATTGTACAATTAATAGGAGTAAGAGTGTTACAAAATATAGTTTGGCTCAAGAAAAGCCATAGAACACCATGATGAATATTCAAGATTTTCCATGTATTTTAGAAAAAATTAGGGATGTGCATGGGCAAAAGATTTGGTTCAGTTTGGAAATTCGGGTAAGTAAAATAAAATTTGTCTGCTTTGGCAATTCGGACCAATGGCATTCGGTTTGCTTCGGCACGTCCGAACTACCAAACTTCGGCAATTTGAAACTTCGGCAATTCGGAACTACGGTAATTCGAAACTTCAGCACTTCGGAATTTCATAAGCATCCGAATGTCCGAATTGCATGAAACAAATTGCACATGTCTACTAGAAGCCCTATAGATGTGTAAGTGGTTGTGGTGGTAATCCTGGCATTAGAACCCTACAGATGTGTAAGTTGTGGTGGCAGTCCGGGGACAGGGAGCCTTATAGATGTGTAAGTGGTTGTGGTGACAGTCCTGCCACTGGGAGCTGAAAATGATCACTATACTTCTTAAATAATATGTAGCATTTTTCGTAGATATTGCTACATTTGGAGGATTTGCAATTTGTTCTAAATCAGATTGCATGTTTGTGTGTCACAAGTTGCTTTTCCGAGACACATTCTCATTGAAATACATGTGAACTCAGATAGGGGAAGCTTATATCTGCTAACTGCAGTGGTTTGATTTGATCAGAGTTCCCATCAGACTGCGAGGCATGAAACATTTGATGCATTTTTGATCTACCAAATGATCTACCATTTATATTTTATGGAGTCTGGAGGTACACCAGCAATCTTATTTAATGTGTGATGTGTCATGTGCTCATTTAAAGGCCCATGAGTATCACTAACTATGAAAATACTCTCGGAATTTGTTACATGCTTCAAACTACAGGGTATTTGTATGGAAAATAAAATTGTGTATAAAAGTAAACTTTAAAAAATGGAGCTATCAAACCTACACAGTGTGTTAGCATATATCGAGTACAGTTTTTTGTGTGCAGCGATACATACACAGATAGGTTAAAACATATAGATGGTAGTCAAAGCATTATCTAGATTAGAGCAACTGTACTTTTTAACAATATACGCAAGATAAAGTAAGCGAGTAAGTAAGTGTACAAAAACATGTGTAAGATAAAGATGTAATTGTACTAGATACAAAATTAGACCATTGTATGTAAAATATTTTAAAATAAACTAAACATGCAAATTTCAGGATAAGTGACATTCTTAAACCACTGGGACTAGGTACATCAAATTAAGATGGTCATAAAAGGAAGACTGGCTGTCAAAGGAGAAGCATTAACTCAAGGCCTAGAGCATTAACTCAAGGCCTAGAGCTAGTGGGTATTGAAGGATGGTCGGTCAACCGATTTCCATGTTGGACAATATTTGTGTGATCTTGATTGTCCTGCTAAGAGCGGTGCCAAGGTGAAGCACCACTCCAACCCCAGGCCTGTGTAACAGCTGACACCTTGTCATCATGGATCCATTGACTTGCAGAGTCCAAGTCCTTTATTTCATGTAAACTGCGTAAAGGCTGTAAGTGTTGTCTTGTAGTTTTTCGTCAATTTTGTCTGCTGGCCCTCTACATACCTGAATGGTGTACTGGGGTTGGACCCCAGGGGGCTCTCAGCCCGTGTCGGCACGGTAACATAGTGGTTTCATTTGTGAAAACAGATTTGCTAGGGCCATGCAAGCCTCTCCAATGCCACAGATCCCCTTCCACAGGTAGAAAACCTGGTTTTGCCAAACTCGAGCGCTGACACAGCTTTGCTCAGAATTGCTCAAATAGGGTATCAAACATATCTAATGCTTGAACAAATGAGCTTGCCCGCTCGAGGCATTGTATCATAAGACACTGTGTAGCATGCTTGTTTGCATCAGCCATCTTGGAATGCTTGGCCTGGTGCCTGTTATGAAGCGTGGCTATTAGCTTCTTGAGGACTATAGTTGTCTAATCCAGTCTAAACCCCACCAGTCCAAAATGGGGGGTGGGAGGTTGGTCGGAGCCCAAATATTAGTCGATGCTGAACAAAGGTGGGAGATTGGCTGCTCCTCCCACCTAGAGGTAAGTAGCAGGCCACAGTAAATGCCGGACACCTCAAGAAAGCCAGTGAAACTCCGTTTGAGATTTGCCAGAGCTTGCTCCTTTTAATAGAGAACAGCAGCCTAAGAATTGCAGGATTTCCCGAGTTATAGATTCAATATCAAAGATACGCTGATGAGCTCCCTCGGTCTGCTTCCTGCTCACTCAGCAGTCAGGCCCCACTGCCAAGTACACTCTTTTCTTCATGTGATCTCGTCATTCACATATGGAAGGGAAACGGGGAACAGGAGCCATTATATGAAAACATTACATTTTAAATGCACTTAATGAAAAAGTAGATTTGTAATATGCAGAGGAATACTAATAAACTTGATACATACAAAGCAGACTTGATATACCCTAGTCCAGGGGTAGGCCACCTTCGGCACTCCTCATGTTGTGGAATACATCTCCCACAATGCTCTTACAGCCATAATGCTGACAAAGTATCGTGGAAGGTGTAGTCCAAAACATCTGGAGTGCCGAAGGTTGCCTATCCCTGCCCTAGTTATTAGTTCCCACATCTGGATGATTTTACAGAGGCCTGCTGCCTGGTATATTTCAAACTGGTTAAAGAGGGGATGGTCAAAAGGTAAATCCCCAGCTGTTGTAGAACTACAACTTGATGCTTCCTCATCTTATGAGCTGGCAAAGCATCGAGGGAGTTTTTCTACAACAGCCAGGGGCCTATTTATTGGCTACCATTGAGCTTGAGTGTCTAGAAAACAGGAGGGAGATAGTTGTACCCATCATTCTAAACAAATTTTAGAGAGAGCAAATCACAATGAGCTGTGAGTGAGCAGCATGTGGATCATCTTCCTTTAGGAATGTTTTATATATTCTAACACTCCTTACAGATATATATTTTTATTTTGCTGTGTACTAGAGCAGAAATAGGCACAGAACAGGCAGGAAACAGAATAAAGAATGTAGGAAAGGTTCTTAAAGGGAACGTCCAAGAAATTGATCTTTAGGTACTTGAACCCTAGGATATCCAAGCAGTGATTGGGGCAATCCAATGGGAATTTCTATTGGAGTCATGTGTAATACAGGAAAACAGTATGTGACTTAGGCAAAGCAGAACCATCCAGGCATAGTAGCAGGATGATTGTATTTCTGCAAGCAAATATCTACTGACCCTTTCAATGTCATGTAAGCTTGATCTGTGTGGGGAATGCAGGGGTAGCCAACCTTTGGCTCTCTAGATTTTGTGGACTACATCCCCCACAATGCTTTTACACCCATAATGCTGGCAAAGCATCATGGGAGGTGCAGACCAAAACATCTGGAGTGCCGAAGGTTGCCTATGCCTGCCCTAGAATGAAAGGTAAGTGATCATGACAGATGTGGTATTTGTTCAGAATGGCATGAAGGCACGTTTCTCTCTGTTATATTTACACCATATCTCACAGCACCGGTGTATGCACATCTACAGTGGCTTACAATAAGAATATTTTGCTAATTTTATATATAATTTCTCTCATTACTTGTAGTAATTTTTTACAGAGTAAGTTTGTTAAAAGGCTAATCCCTTTAAGAAGAAAATATGTTAGAAATATCTGGATGTCTATGTAGAGAGAAGAGTTAACATTATGGCACCAAACAGACTAGACTTTTTCTTTAGTGTTTTGTGTAACTTTTGGAAGAAGACCAAAGCAGATTAAAACAATGCAGACAAGAGGAACTATATTCTTTCACAGATTGTCTGATTTCCATGTCAGACAAATAATGATTGTGTGCAGAAAACGCAATTCACAGATAAAATATGGAGGTATCCTGTGGGGATAGAAGAGAATTTGACAGAGGCTAAGATGGAATTCCTGTAAACAAATATATCTCTGGTCATACAGAAGCTTCTAGTCTGTGATACTGCGCAACTGAGATTCAAAACTTGTGGACCAGGATCTTGTATAAAAAAGCTATTCTCCTGCAGTTGAAATTCTTTATATCCATATTATAGTGCTAATATACCTGTTTACAAACCTATCTATTCATTATGCTATAACTCCCATTAATCTCTATTTTTATTTTTTCAAAATAACCAACATATTTTAATTGAAGATTTACATTCGTTACAGGGAAAAAAACACATGCAGTGAAAGACATCAGAGCATGGATTGTGGGTAAGAAGTAAGGGAAGAAAGCAACTCCCATTAACCTTTGGCAGACAGAAGCACGCAAGTGCTTGGCAAATATTTGTGTTTGTTTTATTGAAGAGCAGTTCATCAGGGTCTGTTTAAAAATATTGGTCCTTTAATGTTGTGAAGCCACATGATGAAGCATTATACTTACTGATTTGCATTTACTAGAGAGAGAGAGAGAGAAACATTCTGCATTTATTATCTTTATGTAATTAAATAGGTTACGTAAAAAAAGCCACCTGTGGAAACATCTTTCCTTTCTAACTATCTATGTTGCATATTTTTACTCCCTTTTCCTTTAAAGCTTCTGAAACGACTTGTCTTTACTCCCAATCTCACTTTGACCATCTTCAATCTTGCTTCCGTCTCTTCTATTCTAATTAGACTTCCTCACTAAAGTAACTTACAATCTAATTGGGGCCAGATTCAATGACCACTACTCCATACTATTTATTCTAGATCTCCCACCTGCCTTTGCCACTGTTGAGCATGCTCTCCTTCTTTAGTTACCAGAACAACTATAGCTTATTGTATTTGTTCTAGTGAGTATAATCATTCCCTTCAGGCTTTTTGCTGTAAACACTGTCTTTTCAGAGAAAATGCAGTGCTTACATTACAGACTACGGATACCTCCACTGGCCACTCCTCAGATGGCTGCCAGAGGCACTTCCTGGGGCAGTGCTGACATTCAGTGTCTCCACCCTCTACACGGAGACACTGAACTTTCCTCATACAGGTGCATTGATTCAGTGCATCGCTATGAGGAGATGCTGATTGGCCAGGACTGTACTTGGCTTGTGCTGGCTCTGGCCAGATATGCCTCCTTGATACATTGACAGTCTCAGCCAATTCTATGGGAAAGCATTGTAATTGGCTCACACTTCTGATTTTGTCAGCCAAACAGGCAGATCGGGGTAGAGCCAGCAGTTGCACACTTGAATGCAAGTAAGATTTTACTATATTTAGGTGAGCAAGGGGCGTGGGGCAAGAGGGGATAGATAGTGTTTTTAATTCTATAGAGTCAGAAATACATGTTTGTGTTCCTGACTCTATAGTGTTCCTTTATACTCTCCTTCTTTAAACTCTTCACACTCTTGGCCTCTGCAACACTCTCCTTTCATAAGTTTGCATTATTCACATCACTGAGTCTATCTCCAGTAACATTACTGAATAAGCAGAAACATATAATCCATTAGTGTAAAATGGAAAAAGCAATGGAGATCTGGTACCTGGCAGCCTAGCAGGAACATTCTTCAGGTTGGTCCGCATGCTTGTATCAGTTATCTTAGAATGCTTATCAGTTGTTGGTTTTGCTGTGTGGTGTCTAGTCATTTTGGAAATATATTAACGTGATAGCACTGTGTGAGCCTACACTAGTGCTACTATGTAGTATTAAGTAGCGGCTTTGAATAACAAAATGCAGATCAGTGTTTTCTACGGTCTGCCAGCAGTGCCAGTGACAGGGATCCCATTACTAAATGCAGGCGTCTGGCCTCATGAAGTAAACTACAGAACCCTTACTGCCCAGGCCAATGCTGACCAAATATTTACATACATTGTGGCTTTGGAACAAAATGTTTCTCTTCCTTTTTAAAAAGTCAAATGCAGTCTTTGTTGTCAAGTTACATCTGTATTTGCTTGCACTCTCTAGAAAAGGAAATATGTTTTTCAAATTTACAATGAACACAATAATACAAATGTTATACAACATATTGATGCTCTAGGATGCTAACAATACACATCCATAGGGTTATTCACTACAGTGTGAATTTCTAACTTTAGGCAACGGAAGCCAGTTATGGATTAAAATTGTAGATTATGCTAGCTTTAGTGTACCTATAATCTTGATTTTATTAATGACAGGAGGCGAATATTTGCTTAAGTCTCTCTTTACTAGAACTCCACAGCAGCACATTAACACAGAGAAAAACAACCAACCAGAAAAAAGTTAGGTACTACAAAACTCCCCTCCCCACTCATAATTTCCTCTTTCAAGCTGTGATGAAAACCAGAACAAAAGGCAGAAACAAATAATGGAGAAACTAAGTCCTAGATATAATGAATACAACGACGTCCACCATCCGAGAAGAACTGTCAAACCATGTATCGTTGCTGGACCAGAAACTGAAACGAGAAAACAGAATCGAAAAAGTTGGTTAGCCCCTGAAATGTACTCTGAACAAAATATGTAGGCACCAATATAACAACCAGAACTATCATAACATACAGAGATATCCCAACCCTTACTAGGAAACGGAGACAAGAACAAGTGACAGGTGGCAGAGACAACAAGCAGAGTTGCATACGTACCTGATTAACCCAAACTATTAAAGTTAAACAAGGGAGGGATAAGCATGGGAGGGAAATATTCGCTTTCTGAATTAATAAAATTAAGATTGGTCTCCTCCGAGAATTAATCTATTATTCTGGCAAGAGTTGGGCCAAACTCGTCGTGTACTAATTGTTTCCAGTACTCCAATTGGACTGCGGAACCTGCAACAGTGGTAGGTAAAGTACTCCCAAGTGACGTCCAATCAGAGTTTCAAAACGGAATTTGTGTAGCGAAACAGTGATCGACTACTCTGGGAGATTGTGAAGCCTAGAAATACCAAAATGAGGGGAATGTAAATAGAGGTCGAGCTATCTATCCAAATGTATCTTTGTCAGGGAGTGAAAAGTGGTCCAGATCCAAGGGAAACTGGGACCAGCATAAACGAAGAAGAGTCGTCACGTGCCATAGTCACGTGGTGTACAGCAAAGGAGTCGAAGGTGGTTCGAAGAGTAGACAGGCTGGATAAAACCCAAATCGTTCTTGGTGAGCGGGTCTGAATCAGGATTTCCATCCATGAGACTGTCGACTGATTAGGGAGAGAGTGGAATAACCCGAATAACAGCCAGTCCAGCCCTGCCAAAAGCCCGTGGAGGGACTTATGGTATGCACGTCACACCCAAAATAGGGTGTAATAGAGTGAGACATCCAGGTCCCTGTATGTCAGGGGCATGTTATCTCCAAGAGTAAGCCTTAGGCCAAGAGACCCAGGTATATGAATTCGAGGTCTGAAGTCTAGGTATCCTTATGAAGGAATACCCCCCATCTTCGCCTAGAGTCCCGTGATCTCATAGCGTTCTCTAACACGTAGATAAAACGTAAAGCCCTTCGCTAATGACAGCTGACTCCAGAGAATAGATCTAGCGAAAAAAAGGGGGAATAGCTTTAACCGTCCGAAGCAGGGGCTGTCCAGGCTGAGAACGTCGGGTAGTCAGGTCCGAACCCGACATAAGTTCTGAGCAGTACTCCAGCGGGAGGTTGTGTCCCGACTTTGTGACGTCTCTGTAGGATTCGACGTCAAACAGAGGTTCCGCCATAGATTCCAAGCCGTCATCCTTGTCGGTACCTGAAGAGGTGGGTGAGCGAAAATCAAAACCAGGACGGCTCCTGTGAGGGGATTAGTGTATAGAAGGAGGTTCCTCCATAACCGAATAATGTTCTCTAGATACGTTCTCAGAGGAGTAGAGGCATTCTTGTCACCTCTCCCAAGACTGCTAACGGCCAGGGAACCCAAAATCGACCGGGGAACACCGGTCTTTCCCTGCGACCAATGCATACGGTGTATCTGCAGACCGGAGTGTGGGACTTTCCCATTCCCGCCATCCGAGTTAGGCAGTGCATGTTTGCCCTATGAAGGCCTCAAAATCTTATGTTACCTTTGATGGGAGAAACAACTGTCCGAGCAGTTTGTCTATAATGGTATGTATAAACCTAAACAGAGAGCAGTTGCTCGTTTGATACAATGCAGAGTATACTAAAACCTACACACCTGCAATAACTGGGGCTCACCCATTAGCAGTACAACCTCCAAGAGTATATCCAATAGGGAGGTATAGGGGCACCAACAACGTGGGCCAATCCCAGGAGCTGTACCCGAGACAGCCAGTTCAAACAGCCCATACCCTGTCCAATAAGGTATCAGGGAAACGTGTAAATAGGGTGTGGAATCTTCCCCAGTAGTATCTCAGTGAGTATATCCCGAGTGAGGATACAGTGGCATCGATCCAGCAGACCAATTATAGGAGATGTAACAGTGAAAGTAGTTTAAGCATGCAATACCCTGCCCGATCAGGTAGCACCTCTATAACGAAAATAGTAGCACAGTCGTTAGATCTAATGAAGGGGTTCTCTCCACTTACCCAGTCGCTACAAAGTAGTGACTCCTCGACATTCTGGTGAGGTAGCCATAGCCCCTTATAGCAAGAGCTGTAGCATAAGCGGTAAAACACGGTATGTAACACAGACTTTCAAATTAAGTTGAATATAGGCGGGACGCCCCTCTACGAAGACATCGTTGTCCTGCACTGGCATAAGCCTGTAAGATGAACAAAGGTCGATGGTAGCAGGATAAATAACCCTGTTGGGCGGTGTACATAAGGGGAGCTCAGTAGCGGGTTGAGTGTATGAGAGAGCCGCACGCTCTAATATTGTAGACGGTATCCATGCCAGTATCAGGCTGACAATCTGAGAGGGCCGTACCCGCTAATAATAAAATCAGTGCCTATATCAGCGTCTGGCTCCGTATGCGAGAGTGGGTCACATTTAAAACCTGCAATTTGCATCAATATCGGCATCGGGCTGAGGTTATGGGAGGGTCATGCCCTCTAATAGTAAAATTAGTGTCAGGTTCAGTATATGAGAGGGGTCACCCTCTAGTCATGTAAATTAGCCTCAGCCTCGGGCTAAGGTTATGGTTTACAATACAAACCAGAGTACACATCAGTCACAGACTGACTATATGCGAGGGGCTCACCCCTTAATAAATAGCCGAGTTGGGCCGAGGTCCTAAAATGGGTTCCCCCCTAACCATGAAATCACTCTCTGTATTAGTCATATGAGAGGTGGATTCCAACTGGGAATAAACCATACTGATAACAGATGGAGAAACAATAGCTAGAAAAAATACAGAATCTACAAACGGCCGCCTGGATCCAGCGCAAGTGTGCGGGATCCAGGATGGCCACTGGTAGCCTGAGGAAACGCTGGAGACATTCTCCGCGATCCACAAGAGCCTGGGAAGTCGGAGGAGACCAAGTCAGGCCTCTCGACGTCCCGAGCGATAGGAAAAAAATCGGAAGACACAAAACAAAGAAACGACAAAACTAAAAGTAAGGTTCAGATAAGGGAAAAATAGGGGCGGTAATATAACTGACAGGAAAGCAAAGAACAGATAAACTCCAGAAATAGCCAAGAACCAAGCCTAATGAAGAAATAACGATCTAGATATAAAAAAGGGTACGAGATATGCAGCTAAAGGATTAGCTGCTGAAGGTCAAGGAATTCCCGTGCTCCCGTGTTGGTGTCTGAGCACTGGTCCCTGTATGTGTGTCATAATCGAACTATCTGTAGAGATATGCCTCCGCCGGGCTGGTGAAACCATAGCTGTCTGCCCAGGGAGCTTCGCAGGAGCCTTGCCCCTTAGGGCACGAGGTTCAGGGCCGTCACCCTTCCAATAATACTTAGGTGGACGCGTCAGGCCTCTTATGGGGAGCCAGAGTCTGACTCTACTTGCGCGCACGGAGTCCCCGTTGTGCCCCTATATTGAGGCACTCGTGGGCGGGCTTGTGACAGCGTTTTTCCCAACAGAGGCAGCCACCGCCACCTTAATCATTGCCTGTAGGCTTTCCTGGGTCAGGGTGTTATATAGCGGTTTGGCGGCTTAACCGTAGCATGACCCTAGGGGCAGAAATGACCGGTGTCACCTCAGATAGTATGGCAGCAGTGCCTACCTAGACACCCACCTATCTCGGTGTCAATAATGTGTATGGGTTTTTTTCCCAGTAATATTCCCCCAGCCCTGTGGCCAAAAGGGGGCTTGGGCACAGACAAGCGTCGGCCCATCAATAGGGCACAGACAGAGCAGGCCAATCAAAGGGGCACAGACAGCACAAGCCAGTCAAAAGGGGCACAGACAATGTAGGTCAATTACAGGCGCTGTATTAGGACAGCGGCAAGGAGCCACTGTGAAGGTAGCGGCCCTTATATGTGTAACTTAAAAACCCTGAGTGCACCTAAGAGTTAAAGCTCCATACTCTAAACCTTCTTGTCACAAAGACCCTCCCACAAATCCAAATTACAGCCAATAAAACAAGGTACAGAAAGTATAAATCCACAGAAACTATGAATTTCCCAGATATATTAATATAAACTGTAAATAAGTAATAAAATCTCACAGCCCCCAACTAAAAGCAGGAGGCAGTGGTACTCTAACCTATAATGGTGTGGAGCAGCAAAGAAAGAGGAAATTATGAATGGGGAGGGGAGTTTTATAGTACCTAACTTTTTTTCTGATTGGTTGTTTGCTCTCTGTGTTACTGTGCTGCTGTGGAGTTCTAGTAAAGAGAGACTTAATCCCTTAAGGACCAAACTTCTGGAATAAAAGGTAATCATGACATCTCACACGTCATGTGTCCTTAAGGGGTTTTACGCAAATATGAAGCCTCCTGTCATGTTATAAAATTTGAGATTCTCTTTCCATTAGGTTGATTTTTGACCTGCACTGTTATCCATGTGCTTGTATACCTTCTGCTAGTAAGTGGAATGCAGTGGGGGTTAGCTTCACATAATGTTTAAATGCATGTTAACTAATCCAACAACAAAACAACAAAAATATGATAATTTTCAGGAAGTGGTTTAGTAATCAGAAAATATGCAACAGCATTGAGAGCTGTCCTGCGTCAGTAAAATAATAATAATAATAACAAAGTATTTATACAAAGGATTGAGTAACATTTGATCTAAAACAAGTTCCCTAGTTTGAGTCAACTTAAAGGGACACTTCACTGCCCAAATACAAAAAATGAGAAGTCACTATTTAATACATATACCACAAATGAAAACATGACTGTGTTTTTAAATAATGCTGTTTTCATTGGGTTTATATCTAGAAACAGTTTGCAAAAGTTGCAGTTCTCTTGTCTGCAAGTCCTCCCCTTCTAACCCCGGCCAGACTTTCCCTGGCTGTCCAATCACAGATTTCCAATGCAGCTCAATGAGAAGCCTTTGCATGACAGGTGCACTGGGCAATTGCCTGCGTCTTGAGTTTAGTTCCACTGAGCTAAAAAGACCAGAAGTAACAACCAGAGAGTGTAACAACGTTAATTTATAAAAGTATCGGCCTCTGTTGAAATCTGCACTTTTTGTAAAACGATTAATTTTTTTTAAAATAGGACACAATCTTCACATATAACACTTTTCTGCATGCTAAAGTGTGTTAGGGGCCTGTAGTGTCCATTTAATGCACATATAATCTTGTCTAAATTTAGTTTGTTTGCAGGAGCAGTGTATTTGGTATAGATAGTTTAAAAAAAAAAAAAAAGCACATGAAGCACTAAAACCACTACATTTTAATGTAGTAGTTTCAGTGCAGAGATGCTGCCCCTTTTCTTGGACAATGTAAAACATAATCGTTTATGAAAATACTGTTTCTGGTGACCAACAGACAGACACTTCCTTCTTAAGACTTTGATTTTTCAAAGTCCAATGTTAACATGCACAATATGAATCATGCACTGAATCCCCTATTTCTTTATGAGAAGCATTGGAGTTATAGAACACAGCAATCGTGCATACTCGGTGCTTCTCATTGATTGGGCAAAAATTGGCAGACTTGATTATTTCATCAAAAGACAATTGGCTACTGAACTACTGAGACAGCTTTAGAGCTGGAAAGATATTTTTTATTGGATTTTTTTAAACAAGTGCTATTCAATAAGTCTTTCAAAAATAAGGAGCAAATGTTATTTAATGGGACACTATAGTCACCCAGACCACTTCAGCTCAATGAAGTGGTCTGGGTGCCAGGTCCCTCAGGTTTTAACCCTTCCTGATGTAAACATAGCAGTTTCAGAGAAAGTGCTATGTTTACATTTGGGGTTAAGCCAGCCTCTAGTGCAGTGATGGCGAACCTTTTTGAGCCCGAGTGCCCAAACCGTAATACATGCCAATTTTTTTTCCCTCAAAGTGCCAAAACGGCAATTAAACCTGAATATTGAGGTTTAAGTTTAGAAAAAACATCTCATACAGTTGTCCGAACTAATTAACATCTGTGTGTGTATTAAGCAGTTTGTGTGTGTGCTCGGCAGTCTCTCTGTATGTGTATTTAGCAGACTGCTGAATACACACAGACTGCTGAGTACACAGTCTGCTAAATACACACACACACACAGACTGCTAAATACACACACACACACACACACACACAGACTGCCGAGTACACACACACACAGACAGACTGCTGAGTGTACACACACACAGACTGCTAAATACACACACTGCATTGAGGGGTACAGTGTATGTGTTTGTGTGTGCGGTGATGTGTTTGTGTGTGGGGTGATGTGTGTGGGGTGATGTGTGTGTGTGGGTGGGGTGGTGTGTGTGTGTGTGTGTGTGTGTGTGGGGTGATGTGAGGTGGTGTGTGTGTTGGTGGGGTGGTGTGTGTGTGGGGTGATGTGAGGTGGTGTGTGTGTGTGTGTGTGTGTGGGGTGATGTGTGTGGGGGGTGATATGTGTAGGGCAGGGGTGCTGTGTGTATGTCGTCCCCTCTCCCCACTGTTTTCTTTCCCCCCATCCTCCCTCTATTTTTTCTCCCATCCCACACTCAGTTTCCCACATGCCTCCCTAGCTTCCCCATATTCTCCCTCAGTTCCCCATCTCCTCAGTCCATATCTCCTCAGTTCCCCTACATCTCCTATCCTACACTCAGTTTCCCCATATCTTCCTGCTTCCCCATATCTTCAGTTTCCTCCCCATATCTCTCCCTCAGTTCCCCATATCTCCTGCTCCCCCATATCTCTCCCATCCACCTCAGTTTCCCCATATTCTCCCTCAGTTTCCCCCATATTCTCCCTCAGTTCCATTTCCTCAGTTCCCCATATCTCTCCCCATCTCTATATTCGTTCCCCCCATCTCTCCTCTCAGTTTCCTCTCCTCAGTTTCTCCCCATCTTCCCTCAGGTTCCCCTCTCCTCAGTTTCCCCCATCTCTCCTTTAGGGGTTCCCCTTCCCCTCCCTCAGGTCCCCCTCTCCTCCTTTCCCTCAGGTCCTCTCTCTCCTCAGGTTCTCCTCTTCCCTTCTCCTCAGGTTCGCTCCCCATCTTCCTCAGGTCTCCCCTCCTTCAGTCTTCCTACCTTGTAGCGTGGCCGCCGCTGGAGCTCAGTTTCCTGTACCCGGCGGACAGGAAGTGCTCTGTGAGCACTTCATTTCCGCCCGCCCGGGTACAGGAAACATAAGTTCCTGTACCGCGGTGCGCTCGGCCACGCTACACAGAGCGCCTGGCAGGAGGGAGCGCTATGCGCTCACCTCCTGTCGGTCACTCCGGCTTTGCGCCCACCGGGCGCACCCTCCCTCCCTCCGGCGACCTATGGCCGCGTGCCCACAGAGGGGGCTCGGCGTGCCACCTGTGGCACGCGTGCCATAGGTTCGCCATCACTGCTCTAGTGGCTGTCTTCCGGACAGCCACTAGAGGCGCATCTGCGACGCTGAACGCATATTATGACTCCATCGCGCAGAGCGTCCATAGGAAAGCATTGAGAAATGCTTTCCTATTGACACTTTGAATGCGCGCACGGCACTTGTCGCGCACGGCACTTGTCGTGCATGCGCATTCGGCTACACTGACGTCGGCAGAGGGAGCTGACGTCGGCGGGGGAGGAGAGGTCACCAGCCCCGAGGGCACTGGAATAAGGTAAGTGGCTGACGGGGTTTTAACCCATTTAGCGCCACGGGAGGGGGACCCTGAGGGTGGGGGCACCCTCAGGGCACTATAGTGTCAGGAAAACCGCTTTGTTTTCCTGACACTATAGTGATTCTTTAAAATATGTACTTTTTTTGGTTTTGTTTTTTTAATTAAAGTCTTTACTACAAGGTGAAGAACATATATTTCTTCGCCTATGTGAGAAGCTGAAAGTATAAATCTGTCAATGTAAACATTACCACTACCCATTTAAACTTACCCAGTCTGTTGGTAGATATAATAAGATAAAGAGTGTCATGTTTGTAAGTGTAAGTTAAAAAGTTAACACCTTTTCATGATCTCTTCACTTACCAAAACTTGGCTTCTCCTTTCTACTATCACTATATCACTATTACTGATTCCATGCCTTATGGTCTGCAATCTAGGACTTCCAGATCTGATAATAGTAGAGCTGGTATCACAGGCATTGTACTTTCTCTTTTCATTTAAACCTACTACGCTGAGCCCTACCCTTTTTCTCCTTCACCGACCGGTCCGCACCCCCTTTATATCTCTTAAGCTGTAATTCATACCCGTTTTAGTAACTTCCTTAAAGGGACACTATAGTCACCTGAACAACTTTAGCTTAATGAAGCCGTTTTAGTGTATAGAACATGCCCCTGCAGCCTCACTGCTCAATCCTCTGCCATTTAGGAGTTAAATCCCTTTGTTTATGAACCCTAGTCACACCTCCCTGCATGTGACTTGCACAGCCTTCCATAAACACTTCCTGGAAAGAGAGCCCTATTTAGGCTTTCTTATTTGCAAGTTCTGTTTAATTAAGATTTTCTTATCCCCTGCTATGTTAATAGCTTGCTAGACCCTGCAAGAGCCTCCTGTATGTGATTCAAGTCCAATTTAGAGATTGAGATACAATTATTTAAGGTAAATTACATCTGTTTGAAAGTGAAACCAGTTTTTTTTTTCATGCAGGCTCTGTCAATCATAGCCAGGGGAGGTGTGGCTAGGGCTGCATAAACAGAAACAAAGTGATTTAACTCCTAAATGACAGTGAATTGAGTGGTGAAATTGCAGGGGAATGATCTATACACTAAAACTGCTTTATTTAGCTAAAGTAATTTAGGTGACTATAGTGTTCCTTTAAATTTTTTTAAGGTTGGCTTCCTGTCTCAATTCTTGATCGTTGTGGTAGACCTCTCAGGTCTAAAGCTTTCAAAGTTCTCTTAATCCTTTCTCATGTAATTTGTTTACAAGTAATGCTCCTTGCCGCATCTTCTCACAGGTTTTATATTCTGTAATATACCTACTGCTCTTCTTATCACCATCTGCTTCCAACTTGCAATCTTAATGTGCCCTTTACCCAGTTTACCCAGCACCTAAACTGTCTCAGCCAGCCATGCAGAAACGCTAGATCTCTTAGTCTGCAGTTATTCTCCAGGGCCTCTCTCTCTTTATTCCTCTTTGTTGTCGGTAGTAATCCAACTACCTTCCTTTATAACTGATCTTTTTTAACTGTGCTCCAGGAAGCTGCAAAGACCACAACTTCTCCCTAGAGCAGTCAACTCTTCTTTCCCTGCAGGTAGCTTAGTCTGCCCACTGTCTGCTGTAAGCCTATTTCAGTTTTTACTCTACATGACCTTCCATGTGTCATCGGTGTGTATCAGGTTTACATATGTAAATAAGTGTTAATTGCTAGAAATTCTAAGTGAATTTCACATTTTAGGCAAAAATACTGAGCTGAAAACATTCTTGATTTGGAGTATTTTTTTGAAGTTAGACTGTTTTGGCCTGAAATTTTATTAAACAAAGCTGTGCTTTGTGTTATCTTTGTGTGTGCGTGTGCGTGTCTGTGGGGGGAGATTCTGGTGTCACAGTCCGGTTCAGAAGGTCTGCAAGTTTCTGAATTAAATAGGCATGCTCTGAGATTCTCTTATTTGTCACATTTCATTTTATCTAGTACGTTTTTTTTTTATTGGCTGGGCTTCATGTCTGCTGGCGCTGGTGGGCAGATAAGAAGAATTGCTGACATTTTTCATAGGTGGAGGCTTTTTGATTAAAACAAAACAAAACAGAGGCTCTTTTTAATGCTTACCAGTATCAAGTGGTTAAGAACAAAGACGTGTTCATTGCCAGAGTATTGAGCCTAAATGCATTCTGTGCGTGAAAACACTCATTTAACCATTTCTTTACTGAGCAGCAATATCTTCTGGCTTATTCTTTAATTGCCTTCTGTATATTTACATACCTTATGTTTTTTGGAAGTAGGAAAAAAAGAGGTATTTGGAAGAATAACTAAAATGTGTTAGAAAGAGTAAAAGAATTATACATTACTTTACCAATGGTATTTTCATTCACACTTCTTAAACTGTGTTTACTAAACAGTGACTGCATTTAAAAATTCAGGTGCTTAAAATAGCCAAGTTGTGACCATAGCTGTGTTAGATAGGTTTCCCCAACTAACTATATTTTACTACATTTTACAATTGGGTTTTAATTGCCTTTTTACTGTAAATCCCCTATGGTTAAACATAGATGTATCCAAACCCCAAGTGAAAGTGTGAACAGTTGTTATGATTACCATACACAATAAAATAAGCTATTCAAAAAAATGGTAAAATGCTAAATATTCCGTAGTGTAGTGTATATATAAACTGAGCAGTAATACATTTCCCATCATGAGCATTTTAAAGTTGGCTCTATACTATATCAGCATAATGTATTTACTCTTCAGGCATTATTCACAGTCAGATCAAAGGTACCGGAACCAGGTTCTGCTCCCCACTCAACCTGAAGAAGACATTTGGTAGTCAAAACGCATTTTGCTTTTTCTTTGTTGTATTTATACTTATGCTTACATTACCACCAATTGGAGCATATCTATGGATTATCATACAGAAGAAATGGAGAGCAGAACTTGGTTCCGGTACCTTTGGTCTGGTTTTGAGTAACTCCTGGAGAGTATGTACCTTATGCTAATATAGTTATTTTTCTTCCAAATGTTTCTTTTTTGTTTATTGTATTATCATGTCTTTAAATTCTTTATAAACTCTTTAATATTGCATGATCTGCCCATTATTTCAACGGGCATATCATGTTTTCAAATCCTGTACTGCTTGGTGGGTCATGTCACACTGTGCTTTGAAAACTATGATCCATGGTGTGACTGACGCTGTACAGTGCAATATATGTCCTAGCCTGCCCAAACATTGGCAGAAACTGCTACTTTCTTTTGCCTTCATTTATTCATTCCCCCTCCTGAAACTGATATGCTGAGAAAGATAGAGAAAGTGTGATGTTCTTCTACAGTATATTACTAAGGGGCAAGAGCAGAATTAAAGTCTCGGTCACCTCTAGTCACTTTCTAAGTATTTCACAGAGATTAAATCTTTATGAAATACTCATGTTGATTGTGTCAAAATTTCTTTGATGTTCAGATTAAATCAAAAGATATCATAAGATAAAGTAGAGAATACTTTGTCATGTGGTAAAGCACAAGTTTGACAAAAGGGGAAGCTTCCTCTGTCAAGTTTTCTCATTCCCCACAACTGTCAAAGGCAATGGCTTTGAGAAAGAGGCCTCTTTTACAGGTGGCGCAAGTTGGTCTATGGAGAATCTGTTGGCGCTAAATAAATGGCAATAATAATACCCACACCCATTAAGAATCAGGAGCTAAGGAAAGAAGATGGCTGTGCCTGTGAGGGAGAGCTTTGAGTGGGTATCGCTACCTTTAACTTCACCCTCTTAGTACACAACGTTAGCATGTCACTTTGCCTGCATCACTATCTAGACCTTTTTTCTTTTAGAGATCTAGGTACTTATGACACTCTCTTCTAGTGAGGTGTCAATTCCTAGAATTTTTTTTCTTTTCAACATGTTCACAGCTTTGCGCTTGCCCCTAATATACATATGATAGCCAAGCGCTATCTTACTACGTTTGAAATACTTTGTTTTATGAAAACCCAGCCTAAAGGCATGATATAATTGTCATATAACTCCTAAACCTCTGTGTTGGACTGAAGTGACGTGTCTCTTACATTGCCAGATGGACTATAGACCTTGGAGGTGGAGCTTAATGGTGATAGCTTTATCCCCCATGTGTGTCACTTTGCAAGAACAGAACTATTAAACTCTTCTGAGATAATATTACTCTAGTCTCCCTCTATGGACCCCACTCCCACAGATCTTATTTGGAGAACCTGTGGTCATCAGGGGGAGATTCTATTCATATGTGGTGGTTGTGCCTTAGTGTTGTCCATTTCTGGTCTAAAGTCTGCCAATTCTGTGAGCAGGTGCTTCATTAACATATCCATTAGGACCAATAATCCTTTCTTCTCTCTAAACCTACTGAAAATCTACGTACACGTGAAAATAAAGTCATTTTAAAAATTGCTGTGCTCTTGCAGAATCCTGGTCACACATTTCCCGTCCCCCGATAACAAAAGTCTTTCTTAAAATCAAAGACAATATGCTTATGGATAAGCTAAAAGCAGTTATTCATCATACCTCTACAACCTTTTATAAAGTTTGCACTTCGTGGTTAGACTATGTCATTCTTGCTTCCTAATCTCTGACTATCTTCTCTTCTACTTGTTTTATTCCCATTTCTCTTTCTTTCTATTTTTTTTCTCACTTGCCTTTATCTCTCCTCTTTTCATTATCATATATGATATGTGGCATTGGAGCTTTATCTTTATTTGCCATTACTATTATTAGGCTCTAGGTTTTGCTCTTCAGTTCCTTACCACTAGGTTCTTCAGTTCATTACTCTTGCAGGGTTCTCCGTAGACCTCAATGCTGTACTCTCACACATGTGCAATAGTACAGCAGTGAAGCCGACTCCTGGTGCTGAAGTGCCAAGAGTTGGAGGACCCGCGAGTAGAAGATGGCGGCACCTGTGAGGGATAGGTTCATGTAAGTAGAACTCACCTTTGCCTGCCCCCCGGCCACAGGATCTTCAGCGGCACTGTCACCGTCAGGGGTCTTTGCAAATTCTGCTAAGTTTCAATATGATGACAGTGCCACTTTAATTCCTAAATAGCAGAGAATTGATCAGTGAGACTGCAAGGGCAACCCTTTTCAAGCGTTTTTTCGTAAAAATGACAAAATTGTGTATCCCCGAAAACATGGTGGATATGGTAACCCTATATATGTCATAATCTTGTGCTGGAATCCATTTTAAAAATGAAACTAGCTTTGTACTCTATAACTGATAACATGTGATTGTCCTTATTTAAATGAAGATTAGAAAAATAAAAAGACAGCAAATGCAAACAGCACGTGGAAGGTGCAGTGATAAGATCAAAGAAACCCTAGCCTTAAAGCGGCAATATCCCCACCACCACCCCTCTCCCTCCTCTCAAAATAAGTATTTCATAAAGATAGAATTTTTATGAAGTTTTCATATTGACTGTGTTGGAATTTCACTCCAACCCAGTCAAGAGATATACTTGGAAAAAGTAGGGACTACTTGCCTCATTATTTTTCTTACACCTGACACTTCTAGCCACCGAGCAGAGCTACTGCCATCTAGAAGTATCATTCCTCCCCAGCCGTCACCACTGATGCCTGCAGGGAATTGGCTTTATCTGTGGAGGATCCTGCGGTCTCAATGCCTTACCTTTGCCTGCCCTCTCCTCCGCCCCCCCCCTCCCCCCCCCCGTCCACTGGACCCCAGCGATGATGTTACCATCGGTTGTCTTTGCAAATTCTGGTGTCTTTGCCTGAATGCTAATTTTAACAAAAAAATAACATTAGAGATATATAATGTGGAAACATGTATTTGGGAAAAGTAATGCTTTTGGGGGTATTTGTACATTGCTCAACCTTCTGTCTCATGATTAATTATGATACACCTTCTCAATTGTGTTATTTTTCATTAAATACACTTAAAATGTATCCAATGAAAAGCTCCACAAAATACAGGGGGGGAAAGGTTTGTTACTTTTCATTGTTTTGCTAAGTATTTTAGTATTTTTGCAAATTTTCATTTTTTTTATTTTTTTTTGCATAACAATTTGCACAGAGTATGAGTAAATGGATACAATTAGAACTTTCTCAGCCTGGCCTAAGACTGTCATATCTTTTTGTAATTGTACCCTTGTCTTGAAATGTCTCATTTTGTTTCTGTCACTTGGATTTTACATTCAAGATGATCTTGGCTCCAATGCTCCCAAGGTTACTGAAATATTTTAATACACTGTGGATGTTATTTTTGGCTTCAGATTGATTGTAGTGTTCCGTGTGGTTAAATTATATAAAACCACTAAGCTAGCAATCTTTAAATAGTTTTGGTTAGGATTGCAAGTGCTTTAAGGCTAATTCTTATGAAGTCAAAACAATGGAAACCAACAACTGTCTCCTTATCAAAGTCAGTCTTCTCCAAACCTTAAAGGACCACTAAAGTCACCCAGCCCACTTTATCTCAATGAAGTGATCTGGGAGCTATGGTCCTTTAGTTTTAACCCTGCAATGGAAAACATATCTTCCTGACTGCCATTAAAAGTACTTCCCCTGCACTGACTGAGTAAAACTCAGTTATCTGCCACGGAAGCACATAGGAAAGCATTAAATTCTATGCTTTCCTATGTGATGCACTTGGAGTTCACTGTGCTTGTGAATCAGTTTTCCATTTGCCTTTATGAGGAGCACTGCGGTGGACATTGGGTTGAGAGCCAGATGACATTGCAGGAGATGGAGAGGTTGGCAGCACCAAAGGGAGTCTCAGTAAGTAAAGGTAAGTAAAACATGTTTCTACTGAAAATAGGAAGGGGGAGACCTAAAACAAATTTGCAAATTAGGTAACACTTTAGTGTTCCTTGAAGCAAAACGTATTGTAAGACTGCAGTGTGATAATACGTTGTGTTGCTTTTTTGTATCAATATGAATATGTGATGGATTTTAAAGCAACTGGAAAGTTGTAAATGTTTCACAGAATGCAACATACCGGTTCAGAAAGAGGATAGTCTCCAGGCCACTTAGCATGTCAAACAGTATTTCCTTGTTAGGTAAGTGAGGGATTGCGGTGGCTTTCGTACATTGCTATTGCACACTTACATTTTGCAGTTTCTTTTTCAGTTCACTAAAATCTCATCTCACGATCAGCAGCTTGTAAATTCTGGGGACATTTTTGTCAGGCTGGAAAGTTTCCTGCACAATAGCAGCTTAGATCTGAAGCAAAGATATATGTTGTGGCTTTGTGCATAGGTCCTGTATCTGGCTAAGGGTTGTCATCATGCAGTTTGCGACTTTAGTATTATTTGTGATTGTGGGGCAGAATAAATTATATGATACTGTGCTTTTAAATGTGCACATGCTTTTCCATCATCATTTTCAGTATGCAGTTTGTTTACAACCATAATCTTTGGTTAGCTCACATGATGATGTGTGATGGATACTTGTGCCTCAAAGAGGAACTGTCACAATTCTGTAAGTGTCAGTTCCTTAATCCTTTACCATAAGAGATACTGTAGGCATTAAAACAACTTTAGCTTTCTATGCCGTCTGCATTTTAATGGGCCTAAAAGCACCTTAACAGTTTTTGAACTCCTGCAGCCCAAGATACTCACCTACCCTGGTGATTTGCTTCAAAGGGGGCTACCTGACAACCCAGGAAGACCCCCTCCGGTAAACCTGGCCCTCATTGAACACAAATATGAGTGTTTTAAAACAGTAAAATGTACTGATTATATCATCAGTGAAATTGCAGTTTTTGTGTTAAAAATGCAAAAAAACTATATAAACACTAATTTTGGCCAGGGTTTGTAAATAAGTGGCTACTAAAAAAGACTGGACATACCCCCTTTTGAATACCCTGGGTTGTCTACTTTTTCAAATGGTATGCCATGATGGGCGTCATTTTTATTCCTGGGCTGCCATATGGTCTCAAATGCAAAATAGGCCCAATTTGGCAAATTTCAATCTGCAAAAATGAAAAGGGGGAAAGCCCTATATTCGACCCTGTAACTTTCCAAAAATCCATAAAACCTGTACATGGGTGATACTGTTGTACTCGTGAGACATCCCTGATCTCAAATATGTGTATTTTATTGCAGGAAAAACTAAAAGTATTATGACATTTACAGTTAAAATGCCACACAGTACTTGGAAAATAACAACATTTCTTAGTTTTTCAAACTTTTTTTTAGATGTTACTCATATTAAATTATGTTTAATATATAAATAATTCATGTGACATATATATATATATATATATATATATATCTCCTGAACAAAATAATATGCAGTAAGTGTGGGTGTACTTAAAGGGACACTATAGACACCAAAACAACTTTAGCTTAATAAAGCAGTTTTGGTGTATAGATCATGCCCATACAGTCTCACTGCCTAATTATATGTCATTTAAGAGTTAAACCACTTTGTTTATGCAGCCTTAGGCACACCTCACTGCATGTGACTTACACAGCCTTCCTAAACACTTCCTGTAAAGATAGATTAAATGTTTAAAGTTCCTTTATTGCACATTCAGTTTAATTTTTTTAATTTTTTTCTCCTGCTCTGTTAAAGACCCTGCAGGAGCCTACTGTGTGTGATTAAAGTTCAATTTGCAGAGTAGATTATAAAAACTAAAGCAAGTTAACATCTGATTAAAAGTAAAACCATTTTTTTCCATGCAGGCTGTGTCAGTAACAGCCAGGGGAGGTGTGACTAAGTTTGCATAAACAGAAACAAAAGTGATTTAAAGCGGCACTGTCACACCGCACTTACCTTCTCCTAATCACTTCGTATTCTCTTCCTCTTTCCTACTCTGTCTTTCTGTTTTTTATCCATTTTGAACTAAAAACATAAGACAAAGTAGGGATTACTTTGTCTTATGTATTTTTCCTACATCAGATACTTCTAGACCCTGGGCGGAGCTACCAATGTATAGTAGTGTCAATCTCCCCAGACATCACCAGTGACAGCTGCAGGGAATTGGCTCTGTCTATGGAGCGTGGGATCCTCCATAAACCTCAGTGCTGTACTCTCGTGCATGCGCGAGCGTATGCAGAGACGTTGGCCCCTGAAGGAGCTGAGGAGACCTGCCAGAAGAAGATGGCAGAACCTGCACAGGAGAAGTTAGGTTCAGGTTAGTAGAACTTACCTTTCCCTGCCCCTCCCTGGCTTTGGACCCCCAGTGGCGATTTCACCGTCAGGGGCCTTTGCAAATTCTGCAAAGTCCCCAGACAGCGATCGTGATTGCTTGTATGACTTCACAGTAGGAGAATCATACTTTTTTAAGCATTTATTGTTTTTATTTTATTTTTTAAAAATGGAGTCCGGCAATCTACAACAGTGGTTTTTAACAAGTGTGCCACAAACACATTGACTACAGGAATGTAACAGGCTGTATGGATCCCTTAACGTGTTTGTAATAGGTATCAGCATTTTAAAAAATTGCATCATACGCTCTGGTCATACCAGGCTAGACTGGCAAACAACCTAAAAAAAAGACACAACCCATTGCTAACTTTTTAGTTAATTATTGGACTTATTATTGCAAACATTTCCAAATATTCCTCTTACATTACCCTACAGGATACAATGCTTTGCTTTGAGCGCAGAAGAAATATTTGTTGACGAAAGGGCCTGATATAAACTTGTGAAATAATGTCACATGGAAATGGCTTAGGCTGTTGGGCTAACTTCAGGATTAGTACACTAGGGCTTTTGTTACTGTGCTTCATTCAGTCCAGCTCCTTAGAGATTAACTATCACATGACAACTGTTTCAGCAATATCTGCAATCTATTATAAAAGAGAAGTTCCTGTAAGTCCTAAATGCTTGTTAGTTTGGAAACTGTGATGATAACATATGAAACCTTAAAAATTAATTTAGAGAGTTAGAATAGAATGTTCTATTATATTGTAAACCGGATCCCATTCCAATCTGAAAGTATCCATCTGCCTTGAAACTAGTTCTTTTCCTACTTGAGATGTTACTGGTTTTTGAAAGATAAGTCGATACAAGAAAGCAAGTATTAAACCAAATAAAGTTAAAAGGTTACTCCAAACAAAAAACAGTATTTTAGAAAAACATTGTTTTTGGTAAGAGTAACCCTTTCTACCCTTCCCCCCCTGCCCCCCAAAAAAACCTAAATAAAATAAAATAGCTAAAACTAACCATCATTCTGGCTCTGATTCAAAGTCCCCCCTCCGCCACACTGGTGTCTCTGCCAGTAAAGGGGAGAGATGTCTGAGAGAGCAGACTAAGTTGAGGACAGAGATGGCAAACAAGCACAGAATTGACATTAACCAGCTTGTAATTCTTGCTTCAGGATGGCTAATGACGCCCTTCGATGCGGCCAGTGTTGGAGTTACACCTACGGCAGCAGAAGGGTTAAAATCTGTGTGTGCAGGGTCTCATAGCGAAGCGCTGCACATGCAGACTCATCATGACCACTTCAAATCAGTGAAGTGGTCTTGGTACTTGGAGTGACCCTTTAAAGAAGATAAAATCGTAGGAATACGAGAGGGGGAGATATAAATGATTGAGTACAGATAAAGGGAACCTTGTTCATTCTTTTTAATTCTGTATAATTTCCATCAAGCCTAAACTCCTTTCTTTTTAAATAAGGCCTATTATTATTATTATTATTATTATTATGTTATTATTTATATAGCGCCAACAAATTCTGCAGCGCTTTACAGTGGGTGGACAAGCAAACATGTAGTTGTAACCAGACAAGTTGGACACACAGGAGCAGAGGGGTTGAAGGCCCTGCTCAATGAGCATACATGCTATAGGGAGTGGGATAAAGTGACACAAAAGGTAAGGACTAATGACAGTTGCAAGAGAGGAATCAGTCGGGAGCTATTACCAGTTTAATTAATACGCTTTTATGAAGAAGTGGGTTTTTAATGATTTTTTGAAGGAGTGGAGACTGGGTGAGCATCTAACGGAGGAGGGAAGTGAGTTCCACAGGAACGGTACAGCCCTCGAGACGTCTTGAAGGCGAGCATCAGAGGTGGGAGGATGGACAGAAGATAGACGTAAGTCTTCAGCAGAGCGTAAGGGCTTAGACGGGACATACTTGTGTTTTAGGGAGGATAGATAGGTGGGAGTAGCATTATGTAGAGATTTGAAAGCAAGAACCAGAATTTGCCCTATATCTTACAGGAAGCCAATGAAGGGACCGACAGAAGGGTGACTCGTGGGAGGTATGGGCGGACAGGTAGATGAGCCTCGCTGCATTTATTATGGAGTGTAATGGCGCAAGTTGGGAGCACGTAAGAACACTGAGAAGCGGATTACAGTAGTCAAGGCGAGAAAGCACAGTGGAATGGACCAGCACCTTACTCGCATCTGGCATTAAGTAGGGTCAGATCCGCGCAATGTTTTTGAGATGTAAGCGGCAGGATTTGGCGATAGACTGAACATGAGGCATGAAGGAGAGGTCGGAGTCAAAGAGAACACCTAGGCAGTGAGCCTGCGTGGTGGAGCTGATGGTAGCAACGTTGACTTGGAGGGAAACAGACACAGGAGTAGCAACACTTGAGGGAGGAAAGACCAGAATTTCAGTTTTGATCAAGTTGAGTTTAAGGAAATGGGCAACCATCCAGTTAGAAACAGCAGAGAGGCAGTCAGAGACACTAGTCAAGAGGAACGGGGAGAGGACAGATTTGCGTGTCATCCGCCTAGAACTGATATTGGAAGCCAAATGAGCTAATGAGTTTACCAAGGGAGACAGTATAGATTGAGAACAGTAGGGGACCAAGGACTGAACCTTGGGGGACACCAGCCCCCCCTCCCGTTTGGCTGGCCCCCCCAGGCAACATGCGGCTTCATAAGGGAACCACACGAGGGGAGCACCTCCCCCTTGCCCTCTGCGTAGGAGCGCCAGGTATCACGTGACTACCCGGTTCTCAGCTTGACAGAGACCCAGCAGGGAGACAAAATGGCAGGGAGGGGGCCATCAATGTTCAACTTGGCTCTGTGAGTAAAGCAACTGGCTGTTGCTTGGGAGGGAGTTATGAGGTGGGAGATATACAGAAGAGGGAGGGGGGTTTGGCATGGGGAGATATATGGAAGGGGGGGATTGGTATAGGGAGATATATGGAAGGGTGGATTAGTATGGGGAGATATATGGAAGGGGGATTGGTATGGGGAGATATATGGAAGGAGTCTAGCATGGGGAGATATATGGAAGGGGGGATTGGTATGGGGAGATATAGTGAAGGTGGTGGCATGGGGAGAGATATGGAAAGGGAATATTGACATGAGGGAGAGATATGGAAGGGGGTGTTGATATGGGGGAGAGTCGAATGGATAAAAGGGGGAATATGGATGGAAGGGAGACATGGGGGGGATATGGATGGAAGGAAGGAGAGACGTGGATCGAAGGAAGACATGGGGGGGGGAATATGGATGGAAGGGAGGAGAGACCCAAGGTGTGACAATTTAGCTACCTTGCTGAGGTTTGCGTAGGGACTAAGGGAGAGAGCAGAGCGGACATCCAGACAGTGACATTACTACTGAGACTGTAACAAAGTGAAACTTTTGAGTAAATGATGTGTGTGTCCAGGATTACATACTGTGTGCATGAGAATGAAACAAGTAATTTTAGTTTGTGTTGCTCTAGGATTCACTAACTTTTATACAGGTTACATGCAGCACAGATAACCAGTTACATAATTCTATCTACTCATCAGGGGTTGTTACTATCACACAAAGACAAACACAGTCCCACCGTACACAGCCAGCCCAAAACTATCACAAACATGAGCAGTCCCCATCACAAACTGACCGCACAAAATGATCACACACAGCCAGCCCAATGCTAACACACAGTTTCCATCACATGTACACCGCTCAATACCATCAAACACAAACTATTCCTATCACACACAGACAACCCAATACATCACATGCAGTGCACATTACAGTCAGACAGCCAAATATATCACACACAATTTGTAGCCATTACACTCAGACATTTCAATATGCAGTCCCCATTACACCCAGACACCCCAATACACTCAGGTCATCGGTCACAACCAAGATATTTGTTAGTTATGAACAAAAAGTAGTAACCCCAGTAAAGACTCTTGTTTGTAATATGGTGCAGGACCGGACTGCCCTAAGGCCGCTGTGAGATGCTGCTGCAAGAATGTAAAAGAGAGCAGTCCCTCAGCCAATTTGATGTTTCCTTTGTTGCCGCTAGAAATCTCATATACGGCATCTTTTATGCTGTGTGAAGTCCTAGGGCAAATCCTGTGAGTGCAATCTAAATGTGGCAAGTCCTGTGAGTGCAATCTCAGTGTTGGGTTAAGTCCTGGGTGCTGGGTAAGGTCCTGTGAGTGCAATCTAATTGTTGGGGTAAGTCCTGGGTGCTGGGGCCAGTCCTGTGAGTGCTAGGGTAAGTCATGGGTGCAAGGGCAAGTCATGTTAGTGCAATCTTCATTCTTGGGTAAGTCCTGGGTGCTCGGGCAAGTCCTGGGTGCTGGGGCAACTCCTGTGAGTGCAATTAAACTGTTGAGGTAAGTCATGGGTGCTGGGACAGCTACTGTGAGTGCAATCTCAGTGCTGGGGTAAGTAAGTCATGTCAGTGACACATACATACATACAAACAGACAGACAGGCACACATACATACAGACAATACACACATACATACAGACATACACACACACACACATACTAAATGTTTGGATGCATTTTAGGCAGCCATGACCCAAGAAGGATCTCTAACAGCCATCTGAAGTTATCACTATGCTGTAATGTAAACACTGCATTTTCTCTGAAAAGACAGTGCTTACAGCAAAAAGCCTGAAGGTAATGATTCTACTCACAGAACAAATTCAATAAGCTGTAGTTGGTCTAATAACCATAGTGTCCCTTTAAGCTACCAAATATGAGGTCTTCTGGTAAACAAGATGGCTGCTCCCTGTCGCCTTGTTTTAAAATTGCTAATAACAATTATATAGGCTTTTAACTGCTAGTTAAGATCAGGTAATTGTACTATTTTATTTATCAAGAGACTGTGCAAACTGTTCCAAATGTATTTCACAACCTGCTTTTCTACCACCATCAAATACATATGTACAACACTCAGGAATAACAAAAAGATTTAAATCCCTATAACACATTTTTATTTGCTTGGTGTCCGGAGTGTTCTCCCTTTGAAGTCTGTTGAGTACAGTTAGCAGCTTTGTGAAAGCGTTTTAAGAGTTAATAGTTCTGTTGGTTGTTTGCCATCTCCTAGCTGCTGGATTAGGAAATGAATGTTTGTATGAGCCCAATCTGTTCTTGCTATGCACAGAAATGGAAAAGCTTTGCTGGCTTCTACGCACTGTTTGTTTCCATAGGGTTTTGGTGACATGGTTAAGAGTGGAATTTTTCAATTGCTGTATCTGTACGTAGACCTGCTCCGAACACCTGTCCCGCCATCTGCTTTCTAAATGTGCACTTAGTGAGCTGACTCTGCGTTTTGGCATGTTGTACAGCAGGAAATTTTAATGATGTACATTTAATATGTTTCCCAATTTGGAACCTATAGGATGCATTTGCATGTATTATTAAACACAACAAGCCTAACATAAGTGTTGGGTTTCTGCAAAATCTTTGTGAAATTAAACTGTATGGGGACCTTACAAACTAGTGAAGGCATGCTTCTCAAAAAAGTGTATTAAAAAGTAATTGAAATGGGTTGTCCCCTACAGGGATCCTATAAGTATTTTATTTATTTTTTTAGAGTACTGCTACAGTCTATGTTCAATCAGGAAACATAATTAATTTTCTACCTCAAAACCATTGCTTTACTAAGTGGTAAATAAAACTATTTTAAAAAATGACCACTACATTTTAGTAAAAAAGGTATATGTTTATGCTACAATGAATGTCAATGCTATATTCCAAGACTACCGTAAAGTGAGCATCATACAACAAATATTATTGTCAAAATTACCACTTTGGATAAAACTGACCTTCCAGACAAGGAGGCAACATTTAGATTTTTGTACCACAACTACTCTAGCAAGTTGAAATGGTTTTGGTGCTTAGAGTAACATTTTAAATTTTAAAACAGTTAAGTCACACCATAACCACTAGAATGTTGAAGTGGTTCTGGTGCCAGAAGCCCCATGCTGATGTTGCACTGCACCTGTTGTAACAAGTTCCAAACTCTTTTTAAAACTTATCTGGGTGCCTGTGATTAGTCATCTTTTTCATTAGAATCATTGTTCAGTTTCACAGTAGCTGGTAAAGCCCTGTTATGAGACTTGGATACCTCACAAAAACTTAACTTGAGTAAATTTGACCAGGTTACCGCATGACAGCTAGGCGCAACTTGGATTAAAATTCCCATCCATTAGGAGCACACATGGTTTAACGATGAAAGGGAGTGTGGGAGGAAAGGTAGAAACTATTTGTACAGGTCTGGTAGATGTCATTATGGAAGAACCGTACGCATACCATCAAATCTTCCTCCAGTCTAAAATCCCTTAAGAGATCTCTGTCAATATATTTCAAATCAGAATACACCAGGAATCATGGCTGGTTATATTTTTTTTTCCCTGTCCTGTGTTAAGTTTATATTTGTATATTTTAATATTATTTTGTATTTGCAATATTATATTGTAACAATGCAATGTTTGTGGGCCCAGGACACACTTGAAAACGAGAGAAATCTCAACGTATCCATCCTGGTAAAATATTTTATAAATAAATAAAAGTTATTTTTAAATATTTTCTAACATCTGGCACCTGAATTAACAATTGATGTGCAATATTTGTTGTAATAATGCCTTTATGTCTCTGTATAAACTGATCATGATTACAAGTAATGTGGTAAAAGCACATTATTAAGTGCAATGCCTTATTGTCTCTATGGTTTCTGCCGTCAGGAACAGGAAGCACAGTGGTGATTATGGTTTGGTATACAAAAGCAATGGAAATATTGGAGCCACTCAGAAGAGACATACCTGTCAAGATGGACATCTCTGTGGGTACCCGCCATGTCCAGGAGATCAGTGGGCAGTCTGTGGTGTTTGTGGCCATCGCTTTCATTACAATGATGATCATCTCGCTGGCCTGGTTAATATTCTACTACGTGCAGCGCTTCCTGTACACTGGAGCTCAGTATGGAAATCAGGTAGTTAAGACAGCTGGTACTGATGTTGAATTAACTTGGTGGGTAGATTTCCTGTTTCACATATAAAAGGACATGTTTTATTCTGAAATACAACTTGCAGCCCTGCCAGTTGGGCACACAAGGTGTATGCAGGATATTGTATTTGAGAATTGGGAGCTTGGTGGATTTATTTTGGATTGTTGGTAATTTAAACTTGTATTTCCATGTTTAAATTTACATCCTCAAATATAGGTACCTTTGTGGATGTCAATTTAAATATGACAGCAGGAGCTTAAATTACCAAAATTCTTGTTCTGAGTCTCTTCTTTATGATGTCCTTTAGCTGTCACTCATTGCTCTAAAACTCCGTACCTCTTTTGTACTTTACTCAGTGCTTTGTACGCTTTACAATTGTGAAATGGTCCAATGCTCTAAGTAAAACAGGCATTAATATGCGGCATAACATAATCCAAGAGTTTATTTGTAGAACTGACATGGTATAAGTGGTATTTCTACTGGCAATAATGTCCTCTTTGTTTTGTTCAAGGCTAACCGCAAAGAAACCAAAAAGGCAATCAGCCAACTTCAGCTGCACAGAGTAAAGAGAGGAGAAAAGGTAAATGTCTTTGACTTTGTTAATGTAACGTATACAGAGAGAACATGCAGGGTTATTTACTAAATTCTGAATTGTAGCAAATTAAAAATCTGAATGTCAGTATTAAGACTAAACTAGCTGATCTGATATAATTCTTCAACACATCTATAGTCATAGCTTGGCTGTTTTAGTGTATGTTTTGCCATTAAGAGTTCAGTTATCTAGTGGGTAATTACATACCTGTACCAAAATACTTAGGTTTAAAGTGTAATTACAGTAACACTGGGTGATCCCCTTCCTCCCATAACAGCCAGGAGCCTGCAATTATTCTAAGTAGCATAAATAAGTGTATCGGGCAGACAGCGACTAGGAGCTTCCAGCAGAAATAAATTCATACTAACACTTAATAGGTTAATACTTCACCTATTTGATGTCGGGCATCAGCATGCAAAGTATGTTGACAGCAGATGTTGTGTGCCTCTGATCCTATGAAATGTATTGAATTCAATGCTTCTCATAGAGAGGCATTGGATTGGTGGTTTTTGTTCATTCGGCAGTTGTGTTCATTCGCCACGTTTCTTCAGTGTTTCTATAACTTCACAGAAGGAGAATCCTATTTTTTTACACTTGTTTTTGTAACAGGATATATTGATCCCTTGACATGTTTGTAATAGGTGACAGCATTAATATTCTTAATTTGGCCAGAAGTACACTTATTTCTCTAATAAGGCTTCAAGTAAATGTAATATTTATACAGTGAAGTATTTGATCCCCTGATGATTTTGAACATTTGCCCAATGACAAAGAAATGATCAGTCTATAATTTTAATGGTAGGTGTATTTTAACAGTGAGAGACAGAATAACAAAAAAATACAGAAAAAATACATGTAAAAAAAGTTATAAGTTGATTTGCATGTCAATTAGTGAAATCAATCAGCAAGATTTCTGGCTCCCAGGTGTCTTTTAGACTGGTAACGAGCTGAGATTAGGAGCACTCTCTTAAAGGACCACTATAGTGCCAGGAAAACACTCTCTTAAAGGACCACTATAGTGCCCTGAGGGTGCCCCCACCCTCAGGGACCCCAAATATACCTACCATTAAAATTATAGACTGATCATTTCATTGTCAGTGGGCAAACGTTCAAAATCAGCAGGGGATCAAATACTTTTTTTCCCCTCGCTGTAATGTGTTGATAAAAGTTAAAAGAAAAATAACAGTAGGTGGAATTTTTTCTTATCTTGAAGTGTGCCTCAGTCGCAAAATGCTGTGAACCTCTGATCACTGTTCGAAGGAACACATCATACTTAAGGGGACACTACAGGCACCCAGATCACTTCATCTCATTGAAGTGGTCTGCGTGCAGTGTCCCTGTCCCCTCAACTCTGGTTTGAGAGTAACTGCAATGTTTACATTGCAGAGTTAAGACAACCACTAGACAACACTGCTGTTCAATTCAAACATCATTTTATAAGGTCACTGTAACCTATTTTGAGAGTTAAAGGACCACTATAGTGCCAGGAAAACATACTCGTTTTCCTGGCATTATAGTGCCCTGAGGGTGCCCTTACCCTCAGGGTCCTCCTGGATGGAGAGGAAGGGGTTAAACTTACCTATTTCTCCCGCGCCGGGCGGGGAGCTCTCCTCCTCCCCTCCGCCTCCTCTTCGGCTGAATGCGCATGCGCGGCAGGAGCTGCGTGCGCATTCAGCCAGTCTCATAGGAAAGCATTTGCAATGCTTTCCTATGGACGCTGGCATTTTCTCACTGTGATTTTCACAGTGAGAAGCACGCAAGCGCCTCTAGCGGCTGTCAAGAGACAGCCACTAGAGGCTGGATTAACCCTAACATAAACATAGCAGTTTCTCTGAAACTGCTATGTTTATAAAAAAAAAGGGTTAACCCTTGCTGGACCTGGCACCCAGACCACTTCATTAAGCTGAAGTGGTCTGGGTGCCTATAGTGGTCCTTTAAAACTTGCCTTTTTAATAGTGATGTCTACTCGGATTTATTTCACTCAAACATCCAATACAGAATTATTCTGGGTACTTGTGTAAATTCTAATTCTTAATTCAATGTCACCTACCTACACATGAGTTTTGTATTCCGTAATACCTGTTGAAGTGGTGTTCCATTTGTTTCTAAAATAGTGGACCTTACCTCATCATGTTTTGTTTGCTTCATGTCGATATCTTGCAGTTGTTTTTAAGAAGTGAGAACATATTGCGATCGATTTTGCTAAAATTTTGAGTATAGTGCTTCCATTTAATGGATATGTTGGGTATGATAGGAAGTAAGACACCCAATGTAGCGGGGTCCTCGTAGGTTAATTCATTTTTAAGTGATCAGTTATTCACAAAAGTGAGAATAGTTAGTTATTCAAAATTAAATTACAAATTTAAAGCCAAAATAGCTGAACTGGTAACATGCTCCAAGTATTTTGGACAGTTTGGCTATATTTTGGTTTAAATGTTAACGTTCACTTTGAATTCCAGCCAGTATGTGTGAAGTGCAGTGTGCATGCCCCTCAACTGTCTTGCGTTTGGCAGGACAGTCCTGATTTGCTGTCCCACCATTCTTCTTTAGTGCCCTGGTGTTCCCAGGTGGGGTGTCGCTGAGTAGCTCAGCATGAGTGCATCATTAAATACGCTCACTTTGTGCAGCAGGCACTAGGACCATCTAGGGAGCGCTTTACAGCATTCCCTGTACGGTCCTAATAGCTGGGGGCTGGCCATGCTGTTTGTCAGGTATGGGTCGGCACCTTTTTCAGGCTGGCCTTTTCAGATATTTTGACATTTTTTGGCACAATTTATTAAATCTATAGCGTTTTTCATATGCTGCTCCTTTTGTGCCCTAATTGCTATTTTTCCATGCAGGCCATTTTTCGCCGTTGAGACTCGACCAATTTATTGAGTTTTTTTTTACTCCGATTAAAAGTCATCTGCTTTCTAATGCCCAACAATATATATTGGTGCCTGTGCACACACAGCTACTAGTAAGTCTCTTTCAGTGGTTTCATACCCCACCTTCCCATCTTACATAGTATTTCTCATTGAAACCTCTTCAGCTTACTTTCTTTGGATACTGTGTAGCTTTGATATTGACCTACCAGTAACCCTTTAAGTAATTATACTTGTCTGGTACAATTGTGATGTATTGTATTATTGTCTGTTATATATTTACAAAAACGTGGATACTTACGCTTTCTGACTTAAGCTGTAATTATAATGGTCCACATTCTTTATTAACACTCTTTTTTTCCACCACACTTAATTTTGCAGTCTTTTTTAAGACCGTGTGCGCTGTTGTGGCTTATTTTCTATTTATAGCATTGCAGTATTGTGTATGTTTTTCTGTTCTTTGCTATTTCATATATGAGTCTGTATATACTTGTTATGTAAAAAGCAGAAACACAGGGGGATAAGTTCAGAAAATCACTTTATCACAACATTTTTATTTTAGCGTTCCACTGTTTTCTTTCCTTTATATTCTCCAAAATGTAAATTTTTTTTGCAACCAGATTACAGACCACATATAAAAGACACTTTTCCAAACACTAGATTAGAGAAGGGAGAAGGCACACATGCAAAAGACATTGCAAATAAACCGAATGTTTATTGTGGTTCAGTAAATCTGCCTTGGACCTTCTCCAATTTGCACACAGTCCTTTACTTTGTTGGACTTTTCAGAGCACTTTGATAAATCTCCCCCAGTGTGTCTGAATGACGAAGTCTCTTGATGGCCAGTACTTGAATGCTGTAGTGTACTGGCATGGATGCTTAGTGTGTGTGTGTGAATGTGAGGGAGTATTTGCATCAGATGTCAGCGTGTGAATGCAGGCATCTACCGGAATGAATGGTTTGACATGCTGAATAAGTTCGTTGTTGGGCAAGTTAGATTAGAAACATCAGTCATCATCTATAATTAGTGTGTTTGAACCAGATAGTCAGTTTCACGACTACAAGCAAAAGAGGACAACCTACAGCCCAGTCAAACTGACATTTTTTTTGCTACAGTTACTGTGCGTGTCGTTTATTATTACCTATAAAAGCTTAATGCACTGCAATCATTTGAATGATAAGTTCTATAAACAAGTGTAATTAACACGGCACAACATTTACACCAGTCATTGTGTTATACAACGCTAAATGCTTTTTATTGCTCTTAGAGGAAATGAGATCTAAAATGACATGGTATAAAAAGGATGTCAGATCTGGAGACTTGTCATGACTTTGCTTGCCATGTTCTGCCAGCACTGATGTATGACTGTTCTGTAAGGATTCAGTGTGTGATTGAGGCACAAGTTGACTGAATTTAGACAGGCCTGTACAGCCGTCAATATATCAGGACATGCAGCATTCCTGCAACACAGGATGTGACTCATACAATTTTCCTCTAATTTTTTCCGGCAGTGATCCTTATGAGGTGAGATGTAATCAGATTAACATTTGTATTTTCTTTTTCTTTTTTTATATAGGGAATAGATATAGATGCTGAAAATTGCGCGGTGTGCATTGAAAATTACAAACCCAAAGATGTTGTGCGAATCCTGCCATGCAAGTATGTATTATTATTATTGGTATTTATATAGCGCCAGCTTTTTCCGCAGCGCTTTACAATAAAAGAGGGATTTACCAGATGAGACAATAACAAAATGTAACAGGAACCATAGGTAGTTGAGGACCCTGCTCAAACGAGCTTACAGTCTACTCTAGAGGATCAAAAATGACTTATAGAGGTTTTGTAAGGCAATATGTAATTTAATTGTGGTTGTCAATTGTGTAATTGATAACGCACCAGTGACCATGGTGGAAATTCCTACTAATTATTATATTATATTCTTTTTAAACAAATAGATGCTTGCTTTATTTTTTTGTGTGTAAAGGCCCAAATATTATTATTTCCGAGTTACTCCAATCCTTTTTAATGAATATATATTTTTTAAATTTAAAATGTCCTGTTGGGCATTAGTAACCCTTTAAGTTTTAAAACCAAGAAGTTTTATCTTTTACATTCTGAAAAACAGTTAAAGGTCTATTCCATCCACCATGGCCATTTCAGTGATTTCAAGTGGTCATGGTAGTAGGAGTATGTATGTGCAGTGTTTCAGCTTGAGATATGTTACACCCCCAGCACACGTGACACTGGCAGCCAAAAACGCTGGGCTACTTAGTGTCAATTCTTAGCATATTTAATGTGCATGCTGCCGACAGATGTTAAAATCTCTGCCAACAAGGGAAAGCTAGCTTTTCCCTTCTACCTCTGGCAGTTTCTTGTTTCATTAAACACCCTCCACCTTCATAATCCCTTCCTCGGCCTCACTATCCTTGCTGGCCCATAGCTCATGCAATTAGTCCAATCACAGGCTTCTATATGAGTAGTCTTTGAATGGACTGTGCATGTCCCCATTGATGTCAGAAGGGGGCATGGAAGTCACGACAGGAGCTTCGCCAAGTACTGGGTTCCTTGCAGAATATTGATTGGTTATTATAACACACTAATAATATGTAAAGTCATGTGATATGTGATTTCATGCTGATCGTGCGCACCCTATGCACATTTTTGCTATACCCATTTAAAGTAGTATGCTGATTTGTGCATGTCATCTGTCAATATGTATTTTGGATTTTATCCCTGATTTAGAACCTTTTTTTTTTTTTTTGTCAATCTCTGTTTTATTGAGGCAAAAAGATATATGGTACAGAATAAACAATAGGAAGTGTCAAACAAGGGGTGTAAAGCATGCACAATGAACACATATTGTTATTGGAAATTCCATCTTAAAACTGCCCACACCCTTTTATATTATCTTATTCTTTCTTTGGCATCACTTTTTGATTTTGAAGATTTTGAATAAACAAATGTATGGTTGTCTAGATTCCCATTTACTGTACCATATACCTGTAATAAATTAACACCAGATATACATAAAGCACTTCAGCATTTTAGCACTTTTTATTTTAGCAGTTTTGAAAAGTGTCGGTTTCAACAGAAATCAACACTTTTATAATTAGGGGCAGAAACACCTCCCTGGATTTCACTTCACTCTGTGGAGCAAACAGAAGTGGCAGGTGTGCTAAGCTTCAACCATGCTGGCTGAGAATGGTATTTATAGTGTATACACTTTATTTTAGATGTTTGTACATTTATCTGTCTTTTTCCCTCTTTACACTTTAGACATGTTAACCACATCTTCTGCTTTCCTTTCAGTCATATTTTCCATCGATTATGTATAGATCCATGGCTGCTTGAACACAGGACGTGTCCAATGTGCAAACTAGATGTCATTAAAGCTCTTGGATATTGGGTATGTAGATCATCAAATACAAATTCATACGGTACATGTGTATGGCATGATATGTACACACTGCAGTCATTGATTAATGTCTACATTCTTCAGCAAAAACCTTAAACCAATAAAATATGCATGAACCAGATGCCTTCTTGTAATGTCTGTGTTCTCCAACAAAGAGAAAGAGAGCTATATAACTGTGATTGGAAGCCCCGTTTTAGTATCTGCATGTGCCAGCTTTTGTTCCTTTTTTATTCCAAGTGCACTGTGTTCTGCGACTTCTCTGTTTTGTAGCACAGTTAGGCAGTGCATGTCTAGTCTTGTGACACTGTACAGATAAGTTCTGTTTCCAATAAACTCTGCAGTTAGCTAGAACAGAAATATGCTTATATTAATGTTTATTTATAATCAAAATAAAAAATGATGACAGTGCCTTTTAATAGCTTTTCAGTGAATCTCACGGCTTAGCTTTGCTCCATGGGACAGCCATTTCGAAGCTCCTTACACATTTTTGGAGATGCCTGGTGCTTACGCACGATCAGGATAAAAGAACCCAAGCCTTTTCTTATGTACTCAGTTTATAGTCAGATTAGCTGGGCTTCCGATCAAAGAGGATTTAAAGATGCCGACCCCCATAGAGAGGGGGGGGGGGGGTAGGCCAGAAACTGAAAACATTTATTTTATTTTGCATGGCATACATAATAATACACATAATGACTATAATACATATACATTTTTTTTTAATAATGCTGATGTGGCCCTACTTGTTCAAATCTATTGACAACTTTTTATGCAATTGAGTGAGTCAGCAAGTAAGCATTTTAGGTAATTTTTTCTCGTTTATACTTGTATTACACCTGTGTCATTAATGTAAAATTTTAATGAGTAAAAAAGGGGGGGGGGATTGCGGTGCACACCCAGAACATGTATTTCTTGGCATTGGTGCTGCCATTAAGACCAAAACATATACAAAATACATTCATTTAAACTTTTGTCACACATAGGTGGATCCTGAAGAAACACTGGACATCCCTGTGCCTGAATCCATGGCAGGCAGCAGCCTCTCTGTTGGGACTTTAAGTGTTGCTCAGGAGGACAACAGGAGTGAAACAAACAACTTACCTAGTTACTCCACAGACGATTCATTATCACAATGTAACAGTGCCAAGGAAGACGCAGGGGAGACTACTGCACTGTTAGGTATGCACATTTAGTGTTTCTCAAATGCATTGGTGGAGGTGATAACAGTAAATATTACTAGTCTCAGGACATCACATAGACCGTTTCTATTTTTCCATTTGCATTAATTCTTATTATTGGTTTTGATTATAGCTGCCTTACTAATCTCTTGGGGTTTCCACTTACAAAAGCAGTCCTCCAATTGACTATTCTGCCCCTTCTAAATAGAATTAAATTTTGGCACCATGTGTGATGTTAAGCCCTGGTATAATATTTGTTTTCAGAAGTTAGAGAAGGCCTTGTCTGTCATAGCTTGATTAACTCATTTAAGTGACATTCTCCACATCATAGATTCATACTATAGCTCATGGCATCGATTATGAAACAACAAGGCTCTAGGTGCTGTTCTCCAGTTTTTGTTTGTCAGTGTGCAGCATTTCTTTGTCTCTACTAGTAGTGTTATGTTTATACAACATGCCACAGCAGAAATAAAAAAGCAAATTACACTTTCCACAGAGACTCACCTTTTTGGATGAGATAGATTCATGTAAATATGTGCTGTATAAAGGCTATTACTGAACTGTCCCATTTACAGAAGTAATTGTAATTCTATAAACAAAATGACAAACGTATAAAATAAATATTTTAATAAAGTACTGTATCTGCTGACGAGGTTAAAAACTTGCTGCTACAATATGGCAAATTCTAAAGCAATTTATTTTGTTATTGTTATGTAGACAGAAATGACACTGGTTCTTTGTACCTGCTCCATATACAACAGCAAACAGTATCACCACCCAACAGAGAAGTCACGTAATATAATTCATGCAAAATATTTGAAAACATTTTAATCAGATTTTCAAAAACGTTTAAGTTGGCAACCTAAATAATGTTATTTTATTAAATAGGGAGTTTTTACTTTTCTACATACCCTTACTTTTGGCAAAAATAAATTGTTGTCCGTGGTGTAGATGTGTGCGTGGATAAACACTTTACCACTTCTTTTTTGCAGATGACCCTTGCAATGAAGATATACCAGAAGAGCAGCTACAGACCTCAGGAAGCCATTCTTCTCATTAACATTCCCTCATGGTGGACATTTTGGACTGCTTTAGAACTAATTTTAGTTTTTATTTCATTGGTTTTAAGAAGCCATGAATGAAAGCTTTTGCTTGAGAAATAAAAGAAAACTGACCCACATTTGTTTTCTACTAATATAAAATCCTTTGATTGTGTGGTGGCGTTTGACAGTGGTCTTACTCATTTTGAAGGTCTGGTGTGTTTCTCCAAGAACCAGTTCCACGTTAATCTTGGATCTGACAATGGATATCTCTATATCAGATAGTTTTGGAACTTCTTACAGTTGGCCACATCATTTTTTTGTGTGTTTGTGTGTGTTTACCAAACATTTGGATGCCACTGTCTAAAGAAGTAGACCTTTTCAGCAAACCAAAAACTGCTGGCGCTATTTTTACTTTATTTTAAAGTAATTATCAGTGGTCATTCTTTTGTGCTCTGCATCACTGTACTAGAACTCTGAAAATCAACACGATCAACAAGGCACTTATTTAATGAAAAGGATGGTGTGTGCAGAGGAAGAGGGTGCATTCACAACTCCCTTCATGAGACACTCACACACTACAGGACTTCAATGATTAAGCTGATGTGTTTTTGTAGGACTCTAAAATCCACTCAGGAATCTGTCTGATGAACCAGGTTCTATTTACTTGGATCCAGCTCAGGAATCTGTGTGCGACGGTAGCAACGAACAAACTCCATCCTTGAGGATAGAACGCACAGCAGAAAGCTTTCTAGGGGGATGGGCATAACCCACAACTCTTGTAACCGTTTACCTGTTAGTTTGACCAAAGGCTGGTGAAATTGTTTTCTTTTTTTTTTCTTTTGTGTTTACAAATGTTAAATATATTCATACCTAAGCAAATATGTACGACATTATATACTGCTCTGAACATACCGTATACAGAAGATGAAATTAAAAAGCCTTTTGATGGGTTCTAACAAATCTAAAGGTGTATTTTGTGTGTTTTTATATTTATTGTGAATATATTAAAATAACACTCCATTAAGACAAAAAAACTTTTTATTAGCAATTTTGTATATTCACCCCAAGAAAACATGCATATATTTGTTTGACTGAATGTTTGTTTTCTTTGGGTAGTATATAAATAAATATCTTGCAAAAGCTGCAGACAGCAATATGAAGTGATTTGTGTGTTTGGAATGTTTCTTTAATATAAACTACTTAGTAACAAAGCTATGTTTTTAACTGCAGGGTTAAAACTAGGGGTACCTGGCACCCAGACCACTTCATTAAGCTGAAGTGGTCTGGGTGCCTATAATGGTCCTTTAAATGAAACAGGAAAAGGAGAAACCCTCATTTAACCCTAGTGGATGCAACATTGGGTGATCCTTAAACAAAAAGAAATGAAATCATTGATATCACTTAAATTTCTCCGCAGTCTGAGATACTGTCCTACTGGGATACCACGTCTCAGTGAGCTCGATTGGTAACTGTTCTAACGTAGGAGGGAGTTGGAGGCAGAGAGTTTCCTAAACAAAATGATGGAGAGAGAACAATTATTAGTGATTGTGATAGTGAGGTCCAAGAAGTTTAGTATCTCTAAGAGGTTAATCTGAGGTTCTCCTCATTAGTGTTCAGGATGGACACAAATTCAGTGAACTCTTCTGGGGTACCCTGCCACACAACCAACACATCGTCGATGTAGCAACGCCATAAATGGATTTTTGAGGTGTATCCTGTCAGAGATTCCAACTTCTGTTTCTCCCACCAACCCAGGTGGAGATTGGCGTACAATGGGGCACAATCCGTACCCATCGTAGTGCCCCTGGTTTGGTGGTAGAACTGATTACGGAATAGGAAGTAGTTGTGTGACAGGATAAACCCCAGAAGTTTCAACAGAAAAGCTGTGTGAGTCTGATACTCCATTCCTTGCTGGTTTAAGAAGTGTTCGACATGTTAAACACCTCTTTTGTGTGGGATGGAGGAGTATAAGGCTTCTACATCAAGACAAATACAAAAAGATAAGTCCTGGGCTCACTGCTATCACTCCTGGGCGGCAGCAACGACCACAGTACACATCAGCTCCAATATATATAGTAAAAACCAAAGAAAGTTACCTGCACTCTCTCCAAAATCCCTATGTATATTTAAACAAATGGAGGTCATTTAGTTACTCCAACGGCCACTGGAGGGAATGCCTGTCTGCCGACGTCAAGACACACACCCCTAGACGGGTCCTACACTGACCCTTCACCTTGCTTCATTGAGCCTCTAGCAAAGATATCTCTAATGAGACAGAGAGGGGTATTTTTTATATACACTACTATATACTTATTAACCCTTAATAGGGAACACATGGGATGGGCGGCATGGAGGCGTTACCCAGACTTCTGAAGTTTCCCATTGGCTAATATGTTCCAGGAGGAGGGCCGAACCCTCCTATATAACAGAATCTAATCCTGGACACATTTGCTCCTGACAAAGGCAGGATTTAATGCTGAAACGCGCGTCGAGCTACTTAGTGTGCCGATGCACTCATTCTTTTAGTTCACTTTTCTATTGAGGTGAAAATAGTTTGTCTAGCCGTTTTTGTTAGCTGCAGCTCTTTATGTTAAACACACAGGGCAAGCTACATAGACTCTTTCAGCTGCCATGATGCAGCAGATAGCCTAGGTCAGGGGTAGGCAACCGTTAGCACTCCAGATGTTTTGGACTACATCTCCCATAATGCTTTTACAGCCATAATGCTGGGAAAGCATCAAGGGAGATGTAGTTCACAACATCTGGGGTGCCGAAGGTTGCCTATCCCTGGCATAGGTGATTAGGTTGGATAGCTCTAGCCATTTCTCTGGATGGCCTCCTAGCTACGGAGGGCTATTTGCACAGCTGGTTTTGGAGTGGGGTTTGGCTGCCATTTGTTTTATTGTGGGATTATGCCTCCATTCAACTAGATGCATGTCTACTCCCACTACTCTATCTGAGGGGTCTTATTCATAGAACCCCACCACCTATTACCTATCTCTGAATATCTTTTCACCTACTGTCCTATACAGGTTACATGTTCTGTATGCTGCCTGCTGTGTAACTGATATCCTGAGCACCTCAGACGTTTTGCCTTTCTCAGGCTATCCTATACATATTGTTTTGTGCATGCAGCACACTTAGGTTTTATATAGGGATTTTTCAATACCTTTTAAACTTATTGATTATTACAACTAAACATTTTCTCCTGCTCTCCTTTTTTTTCACTTTATCTATTTTAACTTTAGGATCTTGTTTAAATAAAGTTTATGATTATTATTTATTTTGTTTATTGCTGTTGTTTGGCCATTACCTTTGAATCATTCTACTTAGGAAGTAATTTCAGTAAGGAGGGTTTCTGCCTTTGTTAGGCAGATTCCTTTACCTTAATTGTATGTTTTTTTTCTATAAAGAAAAGTCATATAATATATGCTATGTTCTAGAACACATAATGGCCAATATTGTCCACAATATATCCAATATCAGCTGTTGAGACAGGCTGACAGCTGAATGGATAACACATTTTGTCCACGTCCAAGGTCCACGGTGGATCCTGCTGTCTTTTGCGTAGACATGAGCTGAAAGAAGACGAATTATATCATACATGTATATATTTTCCACTCCTGTATTTTGTGTGTTCCTGATTTTGATAATGTCTCTATAGTATTGTGTTAAAGCGTGAAAGGTTATTAAGGGATAATATTCAAGAATTATTTGAGAAGAACGTGGTTATCAGCAAAAATCAGCACGGTTTTATGAAGCACAGGTCATGTCAAACTAACTTGATTGCATTTTACAAAGAAGTAAGCAGAAATATAGATCAGGGTGTTGCAGTGGGTGTGATCTATTTGGATTTTGCCTAGGCGTTTGATACCGTTCCACACAATAGATTAGTGTTCAAACTCAAGGAAATTGGTGTAGATTAAAATTTGTGTTCTTGGGTAGAACATTGACTTAAATATACAGTACAGAGAATCGCCATTAATGGTACATTTTCAAGCTGCACAGAGGTGGTAAGTGGTGTCCTTTAGGGTTCTGTTCTGGGACACCTTCTATTTACCAAGTTTACCATCTTGAAAAAAGCATTGAGAGTCATGTTTCAGTGTTTGCAGATGAGACCAAACTCTGTAAAGTAATACAATGAGAGCAAGATATTACTTTGCTGCAGAGAGATTTAGATAGAATGGGGGACTGGGCACTCAAATGACAGATTACATTTAATGTAGAAAAATGCAAAGTTATGCACTTTGGGATAAAGAATGCACATGCAACTTATACCCTAAATGGAAGCGAATTAGGCATAACATACGAGAAGGATTTGGGAATTGTTATAGACAACAAACTATGCAACAATGTGCAATGTCAGTCGGTAGCTAAGGTCAGTAAGGTATTGTCATGCATGAAAAAGGGTATTAATTCTCAGGATGAGAATATAATTTTGCCTCTTAATAAATCACTGGGAAGACCACATCTTGAATATGCGGTGCCATTTTGGGCATCTGTTCTAAAGATGGGACCCTTACTTAATAAAAGGGAAGGAACATTTTAGCTATGAAGAAAGGTTGACAAATTTAAACCTCTTTAGTTTAGAAAAACATCACCTCTGAGAGAATACGATAACATTATACAAATATATCTGGGGCCAATAGAAACCATTGTGTGGGAATCTATTCACAAACAGGACTATACATAGGACACAAGGTCATGCGTTTAGACTGGAAGAAAAAAGATTTTATGTCAAGACACGAAGGCTCATATTGCTTAAAGGAACACTATAGTCACCTAAATTACTATAGCTAAATAAAGCAGTTTTAGTGTATAGATCATTCCCCTGCAATTTCACTTCTCAATTCACTGTCATTTAGGAGTTAAATCACTTTGTTTCTGTAGCCCTAGCCACACCTCCCCTGGCTATGATTATCAGAGCCTGCATGAAAAAAAAACTGGTTTCACTTTCAAACAGATGTAATTTACCTTAAATAATTGTATCTTAAATCTCTAAATTGAACTTTAATCACATAAGGAGGCTCTTGTATGGTCTAGCAAGCTATTAACATAGCAGGGGATAAGAAAATCTTAATTACATGTATGCCCCACATAGCCAATAAAGATAGGCACCATGACCCTTAGACACCTAGACCCCACACATACAGGGGGGGGGGGGATCACACCAGGTCCCTGGGATAGAGAACAAGTAGGAACAATGGGTGGAAGCGCTAACAGGGAAAGGGAGATCTGAGATTCAGACCCAATAGAGAGGGGGGAACCTAGGTGGGTACCACAGAAATGCCGGGGAGGGGCTGACACCCACGGGAGGGACTCTAGAAGTAGGTGAGGCCCATAGCGGGACCTCGGGACGGGATCGACCTGTTTCCAGCTGTTAAATAATATACTCAGTTCTCCTAAGTTATGCTATACTGTTCAAGTTATTTGTTTTCTTTTCTTGTTGCTTAATTACCTGCACTGTACACAAAAGGTATGCAGTTCATGGCTGTGATGCTTTCTTGAGTAAGGCTCAGGCAACCTGAGCAACACAGTCGAGCCGGATACAAGCAGTAGCCTCAACTCCCACATGGGAATTCAACTCTACCTGGTCACTACGACCCCCCACAACTGACTCGGCCTGTAAATTGGATCGGGCCTAGGGATCTTACCGACCATAGATGGACCGGACGTACCCTGGAGCAAAAGATCGATCTTGGGTCATTGTTGTCTGACCACCCCTGACTTTACCAACCCACCCCTCCTCACACCGACTACCACCGACAGACTCGCCCCACCTGACACATACCCCACCCCCCCTATTATATCTAACTCTTCCCACCCCTCATCTCACCCCCACCCTTCCCCCTTCTTCTCCACCCTGATCCCTCCTCCCACACACTGCCGCAATGTCACGGAAATTCCAACCTGCACCGCTCAGGTTCTGGTCCAATAACATAAGAGGCCTAAACATCCCTGAGAAGCACACACAACTTCTGCGGACGCTGTGGTCCCAGAGGATCTCCGTGGCATTTCTGCAGGAGACCCACTTTAAAGATGGGTGCGCTCCCGCGCTACAAGATAAAAGATTTCCCCAGGGCTTTTTCGCGAACCACCAGGACTCCAAAAGATCAGGAGTGGCGATCCTTTTTGCGGGGACGGTGCCTTTTCAATGCACCGCCACACAGGTGGACCCACTGGGAAGATACCTCTTCATAAAAGGAACCATAGCGGAACGCCCGTATACCCTAGCCAATGTGTATTGCCCCAATCGGGGTCAACACACATTCCGGGCTCGGGCGATAGCCCGTTTAGAAAAATTCAAGGAAGGCTTACTGATATTAGCGGGTGATTTGAACACTCCCCTGGACCCCCGAGTAGACACATCAAGGGGTAACAGCACCATACCAGACCACTGCATACGCAGGACCAAACAAACAATAGACTCGGCCTGACCGACTGCTGGCAGGCGGTGCACCCTGACAGCAGAGACTATACCTGCTACTCCGCCCCCCACAATCAATACAGCAGGATAGATTACATCTTTATCGCACAGGAATGCCTCCCCCTGCTCATTTCCGCAGACATAGTAATCCAAGGAGACTCTGACCACTCTCCCGTGTCCATCCAGTTTCAATCACCCCTCTTCAAGCAGAAGGAACGCCATTGGCGACTAAATGAAACCATACTATCCGATACAAAATGCTCGATGCTGACCACGCAAGTACTCACCCAATACTTCGAAACCAACACCGCCCCGGAAGTATCCCCATTGATAACATGGGAGGCACATAAATGTGTAGTTAGGGGGCACTACATAAATCTTTGCACGCAGCGCAAACGGGAGAACACCAGACACATCCTGGAACTGACCAAACGGATAACCGAACTTGAAACCACACATAAAAGGGAATTGACAGAAGAAGTTTACCTCCATCTGACCGACGCGAGGAGACAGCTTAGTGACATACTCTTTCAGGAGTTACTCAAAGTGGTACGCAGGTCCCACCGCTATTTTTAGGAGTACTCAAATAAATGCGGTAGACTGTTGGCCCGGACTCTGCAGCAGAGACGGAGGCAAAACCACATTCACAAAATAAAAGCCCTCAACATCATCCACTCGGCTCGAAGGCAAGGAAGGGGTCTAGTCCTCCTTTCCACGGACACTGAAAAGGCCTTCGACTGAGTGGACTGGTCCTACCTAGCGGCTACTCTACAACATATGGGCCTCGGACCCAATATCCGAACCTGGATAGCTGCGCTCTACACGTCACCCACGGCACGAATACGAGTTAACGGCGCCCTCTCAGAACCATTTCCAATACGAAATGGTACACGACAGGGGTGCCCCCTGTCCCCCCTGCTGTTCGCCCTCTCTTTGGAACCGTTCCTGGAGGCGGTCAGGACGGATGGGGGAATCGCGGGGCACACAATAGGGAACACGGAGCACCGGGTGGCGGCAAATGCCGATGACCTGCTCTTCTTCTTGTAACGACCCCTGATCTCCATTCCAAACACCCTAGGCCTATTCCGACAATTCGAGAGGATCTTAAATCTAAAACTTAACACCGAAATGTCGGAGGCCATGAACATCTCGGTCCCCGCTGATCTTGGGGCGCATCTACGTTCCCACTTCAGATTCAGATGGTGCGGCACTAAATTGAAATACCTTGGCATTTGGCTGACCAAATAACTTACACACCTCTACCAGGCAAACTTTGCCCCAATCCTCGCCTCCATACAGGCAGATATGAAAAAATGGACAGACCTCTACATCTCGTGGTTCGGACGTATTAACGCTATAAAAATTAATATCCTCCCACGCATCCTGTATCTTTTCCAGACAATCCCGATCGCCATCCCACGGGCTTTTTTTTTCACGCCATTTCCACCGCAATTAGACACTTTGTATGGAAGAGAGGAGTGCCAAGAATCAGTAGATATCAACTAGAACTACCCAAACTGCAGGGGGAAGCGGGACTCCCCTCGATCATCGGCTACTACCGAGCAACCCATTTGCTGAGGGTCACTGACTGGCACTCCCACCCGACGGAGAAGCTGTGGGTGCGAGCAGAAATAGCACAGGCCGAGGGGAAAATACCCTCGGAACTATGGAGGACGGGAAATACACCTAACGCCCTCAGCACTGGCAACCCTCTGATAGACGCAACCCTAAAGGCTTGGTGCGCACTCCATTACCCTCAACAGCTGACAACTCACAACAGCCCGCTCACACCCCTCACCCATAACCCAGATATTGGAGGAGGACTGACACCGGCAGACCTAAAAAATTTCGGGCGGACAGACTGGTCCTATATACACCAATGGTGTAATAACGGCACCCTAAAAACCTTATCCAAACTAATCCCAGATAATGCCCCAACGATGCTCGACTGGTTCCAATACCACCAGGTCAAATCCTTCTACAACTCCACAACGGCCAAACAACAATTCCACCGAGACCCCACATACATTGAAACAATATGCATCAATAGGCGACATATGGAAAGAGGGATCTCGACGCTCTATGCACTGCTTCTGGAGGGAGAGAACAGGCCACCACCGAAATACATCGTCAGATGGGAGAGAGAGACGGGGGAGGTACTCGATGCCCAAGAATGGGATAAGATTTTCCTACTCATGCACAAAAGTTCTATCAGCTCGAAATTTCAGGAGATGAGCTACAAGCTCCTAACTAGCTGGTACAGAACCCCTGATGCACTACATCGCATGAACCCAGACAATGACGAGAAATGCTGGCGATGCGGAGCAGAGAGAGGCACTATGATCCACATATGGTGGACTTGCCCAGCCATCACCCCCTTCTGGGAGATGGTAAACACCAAAATACGGGAAATATCGGACCCGGAGCTCCCACTCCAGCCCCTCCCCATGCTACTACACCGCACCATCATGTCACTGAAAATCTTTAAAAAATCCCTCACAAGACATTTGCTGACAGCAGCTAAATCACTGATACCCACCCTGTGGAAAAGGTCGACCGCCCCCACATTCCAACAATGGGTAGATAGAGTGGGAGAAATACATGCCATGGAGACTATGACAGCAGCCCTCCAGGGCCGCTCGGAGAAATGTCATCTAACCTGGACCCCCTGGATCCTATACATCATGGCAGAAGGCCCAGCCTCATGAAAAACTACACTCAAATCAGGAACAGAACCCCCCCTTGCTCCCAATCCTTCCCATGCTTCTTCTCAGCTAGACTGTACCCCCTTCTACCTCTTATACCCCCCCATCCTCTTGACCACTTCCTGACTAGACCACCCCTCACCATGTACTAGACTAAGACACTCAATCCAAGAGTAAATGTAAGAGGGAGCTATACCAAGCACGGACCTGTAGAGGGTCAGTAGATAGAACCCCAAAAAAACAAAGCAAAGAGATAGATACACACAGGACGCCCCAAAAGCCTAAAAAATACATGACCCAAAGGCAAAGATAACCGCACAAAGGACCACACCACTTCAAGCACCAGGATCAGCCCAACAACACACAGGCAACACTCCTACCTGGCATACATACTCAAGGACATATTGAACACCCAAGCCCCATCTATAGCATCGAAAAACCCAAAACGGGGGGTATGATACTATGAGAGCCATAAGACATACACCTATACCGACTGGTGTAAATAGCAATAGACACTATGCATACCCTCCAGTCCTCAACTAACTCGTGATATGTAAACACGAAAATAAGCAATGCTATGTAACTGTGAAGGTTTACTACTGCTTCTGTACACCCCAAACGACTGTTCAACTTCCCTCCCTCTATTCCCTTCTGTAAACCCCTCCTTTACTTGACAAAAATAAAAAAAAATGAATAAATAAATAAAGATTGTCAAAAAAAAAGAAAATCTTAATTAAACAGAACTTGCAATAAAGAAAGCCTAAATAGGGCTCTCTTTACAGGAAGAGTTTATGGAAGGCTGTGCAAGTCACATGCAGGGAGGTGTGACTAGGGTTCAACTCCTAAATGGCAGAGGATTGAGCAGTGAGGCTGCAGGGGCATGTTCTATACACCAAAACTGCTTAATTAAGCTAAAGTTGTTCAGGTGACTATAGTGTTCCTTTAACCCTTTCTTTACTGTCCATCAATAGCAGCAAAGAATACAAACAGTAAGAAAAAATGGTAACCATAGTGATAGACCACTCCCATACCAAGTCCCAGTATAATAGTCAGCACCTCCCCACACAATTCCTCTTTCTTTGCTGCTACCAAACAGATAAGTACATGACTAATTTCTTCCATATTGTCATTGCCTTATTGTTATGTATACTATCTATTTGCATTAATTTTTTTGTTTCTTATACCTTTTATTTACTGTATTGCTGTAGTTTCATTTTTACTTATATTTCCATATATTTTATGTTTCTATACTTTTATCCAATTGTGGATTTTATATTGTGTGTTTTCCTTTGAGCCCAGGGTTCCAGACCTCTTTAGGGTATTATTATCTGTATCCCTATCACTTGAGCTTCCCCTGTTGCTCTTATCTTTTCTCCATTTGCCTTATTCTCTCTCTGGCTGTCTGTGACTCCATTGCTCCTGTCTTTTTGGCGCCCTTTGCGCCTGTTTTTCTCCATTCCGTTCCGCAGTTTTTTCATGACTGAATCATGACGTTCGGCTAAATTCTTCACGAAATCTTACAGTTCGTTAGTTTCACTGTCACACAGCCTTGTACGCCTGTTTGCCGCGTTCGGCTAATTTTTATACAAACGGCCAGCTAATTAGTCTGTTTTCCCCTCTATTACATTCGTCTATTTATTTTCACGAATTCGTCTCTTTTTTTTTTCAATTTGACAATTATTTTTTTTTAAGTATATATGGGGTACAGAAGGTAAGAGGGTTAGGGTTTGTAGCAACATCACCATCATACATTTCCCATCGATGTAATACCTTGTTATACATGCTCAATCATCAATATTTATTGCCTCCGAACGTTGTATGTGGCCGGCAGTACTGTCTAACTGGTGAGGTGTGCGTGGTTTGTCCTGCTTTACTGCCTCAATTGTCTGTGTGGCCCCTTACTCTGAGTCTCCTTAGTTCTTGGTGCTCCTTTGAGCTCAACCTGGTATGTGAGGTAAGGCTACTACAAGGGGGGAGGTGGTTGGATGGGGGGGGAGGGGGAAGGGGGGTTTGCTACTTTTCTCATCTAGCCCCAGAGGCTTTTCCCTGGTGAGCCTCGTTAGCCCTTAGGCTCACTTGGTTCTTTTATGTCGTCTGTTGCGTGGTATTAGTGCTTCGCCTTTCTGCCTGGCGGCTAGTGAGTATTCTAGCTGTCTCCCTTTGTTAATGTTGGGTGTCTACTGACACAACTATGTACAGTGTGGGTGTCCGCTCCTCTGGTCCTATCCCTTAGGGGTTCCGTGTGAACTTCCCGGTAGATCTATGGTCGCCTCTTTTGCTCCTGAATCCCTGCTGCTTGCTATTGTGTGGCTGATTTGTCACTGCCTCTCCTTGCTTCGTCATGTCTTGCAAGGAACTTTTCCCACTCATGTTTGGCTCCTGTTCTATACTCTTGTATTGTAAGTCCTGTGTGTATCCTTGTCTCGTAATCTATGTTCGTTGTGATTTGCTTAATCACTGCGTCTATGCATGGGGTATCTGTCTGTTTCCACGCTTTTGCGATATGTAAGTTTGCTGCGATTAGTATGTGAAACATTAGGAAGGCTTGAGTTTTTGGGAGTCTATCTAAGTTCATGAAAAGGAGTCCACATTCCGGCTCTAGTTTCCCCGTTCGATGTAGAGCAATTGCAATTATGTTGCCTATTTCCTCCCAATAATCTGTGATAAGGGGGCACTTCCACCATATGTGGTACATCGTTCCTTTCTCTCTCCCACATCTCCAGCAATTCATAGACGTATTGGGGTAGATAGTTGCTAGCCTGGTCGGTACCATGTACCATCTATACTGTATTTTACGTATTAATTCTAAGTGGGAAGCACATCTGGATCTGCCCTTGTGTGCTATGAACGCATTTTGCCAGAGTTCAGCTG